AATTTGGTGGCAGTCATATTATTAACTTCTGTAAGTTCCAGACATTATGCCTCTCGTCTGATTTCACTAATTTAAGAGCTTCCACCAACTAATATGAGATCATAGTTTGGCATTTTGCAGTTTTACTCCAAATTTTTTCTCAACCCTACCCAGTCATCATTTTCAGTTCTGATGTTATTTATGGTTAAAAATGAGTGTAAAAACAGCGCCATAAGAATATCTTGTGAAGAGCTCCGAAGTTACTGATTAGTGAGGCTTTCCTAGGACATAAATTATCGAAAGATAAGCGTATTCGTACCACACTACATAACGGTCACCCTTCCCGCACAGAAGCCAAAGGCAGTCAAGCCAAAAGCACAAGTCTCTCGTCCTCCAATGAAAATCAAAATGATGAACCGCAAATGGTGACCCAAAATCAAAAGAATAGTTCATATCATAATATCAAGTCATTCATCACCTAAACCTGAAAGTGTGACATCTACTAGTAGGCCGCACGTGCTTTCATCTCTCATGCTGTTTGTTCCGGCATATTTTCCTACCACGTTGAACTACTCCTAATCCATCTGAAACTTCACGGTCAGTCATTGCAGTGAGAATCATGCAAGGTTGTTGATCTTAAGCAGCATTGAATGACATCATGAAATAGTCCACAGACATCGGTAACTTCCGGGATGGCTAAACAGTAATAACGATAGCTTTATTCTGTAGAATGCATTTGTGTGCGTTTAAGATTTTTAGTTCGTTTTTTGCAAGGTACTTAATCCTTATGCGGCATTTACGGGTGATTTAACAACCGTTAATATGCGATCTGAATTAATATTGTTATATCCGAAGCATGCTCCAGCATGTTTTCCTCCACTTTAGAGATTTCATAGCAGCAGTTAGAAACCTATTTGAGTGCGTGAGTGTAAATTGCTGTTCCCAGAGGTATTTAGGTGACTAAACATACTACAAAATATAGTAAATACTATGGATTTAGGGTTTAATAAGGGAATAATACAGGTTACCTTGTCTATTTCTTTAACAGACACAATCTCAGCATCAAAATCAGTCCGCAGCCACCAACTTATTGTGTGGTACATGGAGCATATAGTTTGAAGTCAGTGATAACGGTGATGTGTAAAAGCTTTAACAAAAAAGACGGACAAAAACGGGCTTAAAAATAACTGAACGCCGTAGAAATATGCAACATATCTACATGCTTTATAGGTGTGGTCTGCAGGGGACATATTGAATAGTTATGAAATGATTTTAGTTCCTTCAAATTCACCCCATACTATGCACTTTAAAAGAACCATAATTGCAGCTAGGGATCTAATTCTGCCACGTTAACATAACCTTCCATCCATTAATAAGAATATACAAATCCTAGAGTTTCTTCCATACAAGTGAAATAATGGTCCTCGTGGACCAAGTGATAAACACAGAAGAGAATATCAAGGCTAGGTCTGCCAAAATGTATCAGGGTATAATTACCGAAGGGAATGTGTGCGAACAACAGATTACAATCACAATGTATCAAAATTTATAATCACAATCGGCAACCTGAAGAGAAAGTTTGGTCAGGATGTAACTAGCTTAGATAGCTGTATGAATAACTCACTGACTAACTACAGAGACAATAATTCGTCACTAACCCGTCGATTGAAGTAGCCACTGGCGTTTTTTAGAATAAAGTATGGTGGTTTCAGGAAGTTTCCACAACGTGGTAAATTAGGAAAAGTTCTGCAGGACAGCGGAAAGGGATGTGATAATAACAAGGACGTATATTTACGCGCTAACTACGTTAGAAACTGTACTCGTAAAAATGTAAATAAGTAGACATTTGCTTTTGACGTAGGACTAACAGAATACGATGACAGAGAGAAATCTTCTACTTCAAAAGCCTACATCGAACCAAATTTGCGTTCTCCACGTATCTTAGTGAAATGACATCAGCAACTTAGATTGGACAAAGAGGTTACTACAGAACATGTAGATTATAACATTAATAGTTTTAATACCTATATTGTACTATAAAATATCTACTGGAATTGGAAATTATTCGTCAAGGATAAAGGCTGCTAAATATTACAAATACAAATGTACAAGCCTTCGCTGACGAAAACAGGATCCTGGGCTAAGAGTTGGTTGCATTTTTATTTTTCTGATAGAATGCAGTATACTGTATATAATGGCGAATCTTTTTCTGCCTCGCTTACAAAAGCCGGTGTTCCTCAAGGTGCCGTCCTTTCTCCTTTTCTTTTTTTCTTTCTTCCTACACGCCCTGCCTCATTTAAACGAAACTAACCTCATCAAATATGAGGATGATCTGACTGTATCACTGACTATCACTTCCGAGTCTGATTGCTGCAAACTTAATAGCTTTCTGTTAGACATCAGAAAGTGGTCTAAGTCAAGTGGTCCTATGTTAAATCCTTCCGAATAACAGGCAGTTAACTTTACTTTCAAGCATCGACGTGACATACATGAGCTAGTTAGTTCCCATGATGCCTGTAGCATAGATGGCACTGAAATTGGAACCAAGTCAAGCATTAAATACCTTAGATTATTTCCTTCCTCTGACCTTTCATGGTCATCCCACATCTTATCAATCTCCAAGAAAATGTTTCGTCTTAACTCCATTATGGATAAGATTTTATTTTGACAAATCACACAGTGTTGTACAGTTATATTAACTGATATGATTATGAGCAATAGTTTGTGCTCGAAACGTCATCAGTTAATATAACTGTACAACACTGTGTTGTTTATCAAAATAAAATCTTATCCATTATGGAGTTATACTCAACCACAGTGTCCAAGTTTCGTCTTACCTTCTACATTAAAAAGTTAAGACAATCAGGTACCAACCAACATTTTCTTCTGCAGTTTGTAAACTCCTGTGTTTTACCTACTGTACTTTATTGCTCTCCATTAATAAATAAATAAACTTATTCTCATAGTACAGTACATGAGGGACGCCAGTTTACAGGCATCATCAAATTGTTACAGAAATAGAACCATGTAATTCAATCACAATTTACAGGCAGTAGCAAGATATGCTTTACATGTTCGCTGGAGATTATACATACACTTGATAAATGTTGATCCCAGTAGTATAAAACAGTCTTTTCACTTATATACAATCATTTCTGTGCACAGTTGGAAAGATGTGCTAGATTGTCAGTGAGTGCAACACAACAGGAAATACAGAGGTATTGTCTTCGCATTAACAAAAAAACCAGGTCTTTGGTGGATGGATTATAAGTGCCTGGGAAAAAAATAAAGCTTGAAGTCAATTTTCATACATAACTTTGTTGTGTGCAGAATCCTTGAACTATAGATCACTGATGTGTTATTTTGAAATCAGTGATATGTTTATCTCATTTGATCTGCAATGTCATTGTTGGGAGTAAATACATAAGCTTTAGACGCATTAATTAATGGATTTCTACTGCTTGTGGGTATTTTCTTAGCGTGAGTAAGGTTTATGAATTTCAGCTGTTCCGACAGGAGTTGAGAATATTAACTGCTCAGCAACATTATGGATATAAGTTCATCACATTATCTACGGAAAGGTGGGTTGCAGTTGGTGAGGGATATATGGTGCCCAACGAGCGTACACCTGTCCATGTGATGTTGTGGTCAGTTATACCTTTTTCATGTTGCCGGTTTATGTCCATTTTATTCCACTTATTGTGTTGGGTAGAAGTTTTGCAAACGAGATTTCTTGTCTTTTTGAGGATACGTATGTTAACCGTTAATGTTTTATCTAGAATTATAAATATAGGCAAAAAACAACAGGTGTAGTATTTAAGCTTATACATTAAATGGACCTATAATTTCGGAGGCTCTCAGGTAGGAACTAGAACTACTATCGTTTGCAAACTCTTGTAGTTTGTCATTAAGCACCTTTTTGAAGGAGGCCAATGTACTTGCTTGATGCATTTCCATTGGCAGTTTATTCCATATCTATGCATACTTAATCAAGTAAAACTTTTGCCTGGTGGCTGTTTTACATTGTTCGATAGCTACTGTACCCTTAGTGTGTCTTAGTTTGTAACCATTGTCATCTGAAAGTCGAGTGCCATTAGTAGAGGTAAAAACTAAGTGGTTTAGAAGCTTATAGTAAAGTGTCAAGTTTAGTCTCAGGCGTCTTAGCCATAGTGTTTCTAGTCCTAGGGTATCTCAAAAAAGTCTATATCATATCACGAAGGGTATTAAATGCTGTGAGTAGGGCTTGTGGTATGCCACTGCGTGAGCTCGCTAATATTATAGTCGAGAGACACATAAATTCCTGTACAAAATGGGCAAAGGCCGTACTGTCAGCCCCCCTGCAAACCCTATACTCACAACTATCCCCTGTCATCTCATCAGGTAGGAAGAGAAGTCGATATAAGAAGTTATATGCTCGCACCACTTAGTACAAAAATTCTACAATACCGTATTTAGCCCGTATTTTATGTGATGAAGACTCCGTTAGACGTGAAACATATAAGTTACTATGTAATTAGCAAAGTGAATCGACCCTTTCATTGTTCATCTTTCTGTAATTTTATGGTGCCATCCTTCCTATCGTTTAATTATAACTTAGCAGTTTTATTTTAGTTGTTATTACTATTATCACTACAACTTTATACTTTATGCATATTTCTCTCCTTATCGAATACTGTAATTTGCGACATAGCTGTTATAACAACGTTTTGTTATTATTATTATGTAATGTTTATTATTTTTTGTCGTTTTGAGTAAATCAGATGCAACATTGTACTGAATGCTGAAAATTCCTTGCTGTATCATTAATACTGTTTTTGGAATAGAGCAAAAATTAGTATTATTATAAATGACGACGGCATATTAGCAACTGTTGCCTATAAATTCTTCGGTTGTCACTGGATTTTAATATCCCTGATGAAGTTAATCATTCTTTCCGGAACCGATGAACTCATATAGGTACTAATCTATTGTCTATAAAGTCCAAGTTATCTATTGAACAAAGATTTTGTTTTAGCCGGACACCGAATAATTAGCGCGCTCACCAGATTTTCTTATCAGCGGTGTGTCCCGCACATTTACCAGTTTGCGTGTTGTTTGTGAATCCCCAGGGACTTAATTCACTACTCTTTCGGATTGTCTCATGGAATTATACTCCCAGCTTAATCGTGCTCAGCTTAGTTACGACTATCTTCACACCAACTCGTAACTTTATTTTGTTATTTTTAAGTATTATTTTAGGACGACCCATGAGTTTCTTTTTGGTGCAATCGCGGAACTTATTGATAATGCTCGTGATGCTGGTGCGACAGAGCTGGACATATATACAAGTTAGTTTGGAGTGTTTTTGCGTAACTTGCTTGCAGTTAAGGACAGTTCCGTACGTGGGAATTTCCTACTCTGTTTTGCAGACAATGGTTGCGGCATGACAACAGGTTAGTGTCACTGTATACTCGTTTATGTTAAGATGAGGTCAAAAATGTCATAATATTCGGGAAGTCACTAAAGAAGTGTGAGGACAGTGCCGCCATAGGTATGTATGGGAATGGCTTAAAATCGTAGGTTTTGTATTACTAGTTATCTACTGTCTTTAAAGTGGTTCTATGCGAATTGGAAAGGACTTGATTTTGTTCACCAAAAAGGATGGCATATACACATGTTTATTTCTCTCAAGGACTTTCCACGAAGAGGAGAAACTTGATGAGGTGCGTCTCGAATTATTCTAATATGCATTTCTCTTTTAAGGTAGTTGTTCCTATGCCCTCGTTTAAAGGCACAGAGAAAACTCCTATTGCGGACACTCCTGAAGAGAAGAAGAAAGTAGGTTTGATTTGCACTCTATAGTCTTGTAGCATGAACTCGAAATGTTTATAATTCTGAAGTATTCGCCATTCCGCTGCATGAAGGATTTCTTCGCACAATTTGATAAACTTAAAGAGAATTCAGGGACCGTAGTGATTATATACAATATGAAGCTTCTCGACCATGGAGGACCTGAGTTGGATGTAACTACAAATACCAGAGATATACTTCTTAGCCCTGGTTCAGAACAAGAAGAGACCGTTGAACCGGATGCAGAAGTTATGTAAGTGAAATAATTTTCTGTTTTTAATGAGCATTTCGGGAATACTTAGTCAGAATTACCCCAAGCATTGATATTTTTAGTATCTTGGTGTGATTATATGGCTTACGTATTTTGTAGGATTTGAATTAGACAAATAATTACCTGTCAGTTATTTGATTAAACGGGAAGACTAGTTAGAGTCTGGCGTTGGCTGGGAATAAAGCGTCATAACGAGTGTTTACATTCTGTAGTCATAATTACAAACTAGGAGAGTTCCTGATTGTCATCAGGTCGCTTCATTTTGATCTGCTATATATTCGTTTATTTAAAAGATAATACCTTCAGCGTGTGGGGTGGTAAGTGACTAGCTTTGACGGTTAATGTGAACTATAGTCATTGAAGGGATCTCGACTAGATAAAACTCACAAATTGCTAAATACTGAATTTGTCTCAGTTGATTTTTTCCCAAATGTATTTAGCATTTATTTGTAAATTGTCCAACTGCAATTCCATGCACCTATTGTGTGAAGGGCAGTGTTACTACTTGAATGCCCGAATCTCGGTAGGTGGGGAGGGGTTCAAAATGGTGGTTGTGCTTTAAATTACATTAGACCAAACTGATATACTCCAATGTGAAAGATGTAGTTATTGTGGTTTATTGGTTAAGATTACTGTCATTTCCTTAACTAAAAGCCTCATTTATGATACGTTCAACTAATCCACTCACTTACTCAAAACTGAAGCTATAGAGGTCAATGTTATCAAACTATACGAATTTCTAAACATCAAGGGCTAAATAAATATTTCGTTTTAACTCGATTGATCCGATGAAGTGTTCACCCCTAAAGTAGTAATTTTGTCATTTGGTACTGATCGAATAATTCAGGAAGAATTTACCCCTGTTTCTTACTTCAAGTAACCAAGATCTTAACATATTTCCATCGTTAATAGCGTTATTCTGTTAAATTAGTTTAGATAGACTGAACGTGATAATTTTTGTGAATTTACCTTACCTCTTTTTGTATTCTCAGGGGGTAAGTCTTCAGTTTGATACGCTTTGGGCACATTTTACTTTTTTTCTTTCAAATCACGGTAAATGTTTAGCTTTTCCCCTACTGCAGTTCATCCATTTTGTATAGTGTAAATTTTAACATCAGTGATTCTCGATAGCGGTGCATGTACCACAGACCCACTTTTTTGTCATACTAATGATATATGAACGAAATTAAGGCGAACTCAGGCAAATAATTATCCATATCAATAAACAACCTTTCGTTTTAGTTGGTTGATGTTTCGTGACTTCATAGTATTGTCTCAGACACACCTGTAATTGATCAGTGAGGTTGTAATCAGTATCGCCTTTAAGAAATCTCAATGACACCTTATTAAAACTGAGCGTATCGTAAATATTATTTGTGTTTCTCTCCACCGTTAAATAAGGTAACCAGTATGAACAAAATCTAAACATTCATACTAACTTCTGCTCAGCCTCATATGCCATTTCTGTCCAACTTTTTATTCGGTTCTAACTGAATGCCTGCTGAGCAAGGCTCAATAGTGAACTGTAACGAAAACTGGTAATGATTTTGTTGGAAGTCTATTACAGTAGAGTATTTTCCCTTACTCTACTTGACAGCATACCACAATCTACTTATTTGTCAACCCCCTGTGCTATCATATTCATCCTAGTTTTCTTTTTTGGAATGTGAGCTGATACTTACTCATTACTGCAACATATCTTTAATTAGGTCACTTAGTCAGAAATATTACGACAATTGATGTCAAGCAGTAATATTCCTACCCCTGTCATTGTTGTTATTCTAAACACAAATAGAGGTTCGGGAATGTAGAAAGGTGTATCAATCAACATAGAAACGGTATGAATACAAATTAGGAAAACATCCCAAAACATCTGTTTTAGTATACTCTTTTACGAACGGAGATGGCTAATCTCTAAAGAAGGTATTGACCAGAGAAACGGCTGTCAGCTGTCAACTGAAGGATATATATACATATATATATGCCTGTTCGCGAAAATTCACACTGCTAAACTATGTGTTTTCCCTGATCATTTTTACTAGGTTGGGTTGGAAATTAATTTCTTTTAACTATATTTTTCTCCAAAACTTCATATTCCCTGTCAGGTTTAGGAGATTTCTTCTTTAGTGTGTACAGTGTTCGGGTTGTTGTGTTTTTATTTAATTGACCTTAGAATTAAATAACAGTTACTTGTATTTAACTCGTTTATGGTTCAGAGGTATAATGCTCTCCAGCCATGCACATAGTCCGGGTTCGACTCCCGGCCGATGCCCTACTAACTCCCACTTAGTTTATTAGCCGATAGTAAGTAAGGAAAAGAAGAGAGGTTGGGGGTGAAGCTGCCAACTCTACCCCTTAAGATCACCACGGCTAATAAAACTTTGAAGCCTTAAGCTGGAAACTTTATGTTCCACTCGGAATGTAAAAGAAGGACATGTACTTAACTCGTTAAAAATGGTGTATCGGATTCTGCAGAATCGTTAACTAAGTTTAGCACACCAGCCCACCTTTATTTGTATTACTTTCATCGTCTATCGAACTGATCACTATGATGTGAAGCTTATTTAACTTTTAAGATAGTGTACTGTCGACCAGAATATTTGACGGAAGTTGTGTATGCATTTATATGGTTGATATTTGCCAGTCCTTCCGACAATATAGAAGCTTTGAATTCACAGCTATAACCCTACTGGCCTTTCTGTTAAATGCCAATAAGAACGAAGACTGGCCAGATCATGCGGTTCCCCACCGGTTGTTTTCGGCAGCCTGACACCAGCAACATAAGAAGGGTGTAATTAACTTCTTACTGCAATCTTCAGCTATATGGCTGTGTTCAGAATGGTTCACGACAGAGTTTCGCACATGATGATGATCATAGCAATAGAAATTGAACAGTCACTTTTAGAACCAATTTCTGCGTTCATTTAACCTCCCTTCTGCTGAGTATTTTTGTCAGTTTGCAAAATTTTAAACAACGGACAATGGTCTCATCGTGATATATATAAGTAGACTCAACTAATCAATAACGCGCTAATCCTAACATTGAATATCAAACTTTACACGCTACGTTTGTGCTTCGCTATTCCTCCGTTTACTAGTCACTTGTAATTGAGTAATTAGTTTATTTCCAGTGATGTGCACCTCACTTTTGCATTGGTTTTTTTTATTGAATTCACTCTTATTTTAACAATGTAGTTCAAAAATTAACTGAAGAACTGTTGCCCTACAATTCGTGGAAAATATTCCGCTTTTTCATCATTTTTAGGCTCCCACCTGAAAGACGCAGTCTTCGGGCGTATGTATCAATTCTCTATTCTGACCCTCGTATGAAGGTGTATTTACAAGGTCGGAAAGTACAAACCAAAAGACTACTTGCAACGCTGCATAGTGCTCGAAAATACAATTTTGCTAGTAAAACTTTTCGTACCAGAGCTGAAGCAGATTTAGCAAAAGCTAAAAATGATGTGAGAATAGGTAAGTGTTATCTTTTGCTTTAAATATACTCCAAAATTACTGTATTTTTGCCTTTTAACAAAATGCCTATCCAGAATACTAATGTTTAATTTATTCTAAGCTCAATTACCCGGAACATCAAGCTAAAGCCATACTCATATTCTAAGGGCTGGTTTTATATTCCTTCACGTTCCCAGTGGAACATAGATCTTCAAACTTGAGCTTAAAGTTCCAGTAGCACTAGCGTTTATCCTAATGTCCAACCTTCCTTCTTTACCGAGCCTACTGTCGACTAAACGAGGTTGAAGAGTGCATCAACAAGGGATCGAACTACGAACCAACTACTTAGTTGGCAAGTATTATATCACTAAACCACCAGCGTACAATTTTCTGAATTACCAAGACAGTTTTTATTCGGTACCTCAGGTGTTGCTTCAGCAAATAGCCGTGGGAGCTTCCCGGGTAACTCATGGAAAGAATACAAAACCATCTTCGTCAGTAATATACAAATATTGCTTGAGCTATCATGATGCTGATTAGCGCAAGCCTAAGTAAGTTAGATGGGCTTCAAAAGTGTATGTATCCATTTGAAACCCAGTTACCCTGAGCAGATTTTTCATATGCCAGTCTATCAGCCGCACTTATTGTGTGAGGGCTGATGACAGTAATACCCAGTTGCCTAGGTTAAAGTCGACCGGAGGCGAAGTAAAACCTATTGGCTGAAAGTTTATTGGTGCGGTGTCAGTGAGCGTACTCAATTATCATTATAATAGTTGTTTCGACGCTTCTCTTACAGACTATCTACTGAACTAATGATCTGTTTGGATATACGTACAAGTATTGATTCACCAGCAAGTTCACTACTTATCTTACCGGATTTATAGTAAACTGCATTATTTGTTATGTATCATTAGTAGGGTGATAACCTTACAGGTAAATTTTGCCAAAGTTAAATCCACCTGCATTAAATAAGTAGGCTCACTAGTTATAGTGGTCCTCAGCACACTTTTTTATTTATTAGTATATATCCTTGATATGTTAGTCATTGATTATTGGTTTTTACTCCTCTTTTAAGCTGAGCTTCGTGCTCAAGAGGCAGAAAGCAAGGCTCGGGATTGTGAACTTCGCTACCAAGGCTCCGAAGACCCTGAACATTTGGTAGGTTATTTTGTCATCATGGGATATATATATACATATATATATATATATATATATATATATATATATATATATATATATATATATATATGAATTTGCATTTGATTGTATACCAGCTAAGGTTAGATTACTTATTCTAGTGTCAATATCTGAGTAATGTTGATATTACTTTCATGCTATGTGAATTTCACCCTAAATATACCGTAGGTCTAAGTTACCGAGCGCTTTTCTAAAGTAAAAAAATAACATTATATATCTCGAGTACAAGATGCTCACTTAAGTGTGTTTCAGGGACTGTGAGCAATGGTTCTTCATGTATAGGCTGATATAATAGCACTCTGCTACACTATACACATCACCAAAACGCATAATTTGTTTCTAGGATTAATGTAAGTGTAGAACTTTTAGGCACTCTGGTAGAATGTAATTCCATAATAGATAAGTAATGGAGTATTGACAACTGGATGACAAAGCTTCGAGCATAAATTATTTCTCATAATCATGTCAATTTAGTCTCACAGCTTCACAATTTGTCTTATATGTATTTTTGTCTCTCTCCCTCCTCCCCTTGTTGTTTGTTATCACTTTCCATATTTCTAGTATATGAGCGTGGTGTCATTTCGATTGGACGTGTGTGTGGCATTGAATTGATAAGCAAATCTTCAGTGATTAACCTTTTTTCTGTTTCCACCTAACTATATTACTTACTTTTAATACTCTCACCCTGTCCCACCCACTCTATTGTGTGAGATTACATGCAAGTGAATGCATTGCAGTGTATTGGTCGAGCTTTTTTCTAGATTATTTAACTTGACAGGGTCATTCATTCTAGGTCTAGCTGGCTAGCTAGCTAAATTTTTACATTCCAGTAATCGAATTGACTCCGATCTACTAGTTTGACCCATGTAATTGACCTCACAGTCACCATTACATGGTATTTAGTAAATTATACTAATTTTCTTGATTAGATCTATGGGGTTGTTAGGCCGACAATGTTTATGTCTGAGAGAGTTGGTTGGTTCAAATGCCACACTAATTTCAGCCTCATTGAGAGTCCTGCATAATTCCTCAGACATTCCTCCTTTTTATACGACAGTACTACAGAGGCATTGAAAACCTCATGAAGAGAAAAGGAAAAGTATGTATATGATACAAATTGTGAAAGTGTGGGACTGAACTGAAATGATTATGAGCAGTAATTTATACTCAAAACCCCCATGACGTTAAAAGTACCGCATAACTGTGTTATTTGAAGTAAATTTATCTCATATGCAATTGTTTCCGGGATGTTCTGATTGAGAAGCTTTCAGCATCATATGCTTAACAGATTGGTTTATATTTAGCTATGCATGGATGCATTCATCCCAGTAGGTTTTAGGTGCAACTAGAATGAAAATTAGCTTGACTATCGACTGAATATGAGTATACAATTAATGGTGACAGAGAGATTTGAAAGACCCATGGTGATCTGCAATAGTAGGTAATTTTTCAAGTCAATTAGAGATATTGGATGATAAATTCGGTATTTCATAAGATCAAATTAATGCCTGTGTAAGATTTGGGCACTGTGGTAGCATGTAATTCCACAGTAGTTTCTCTGTTAGATATTTGAAACGGCGAAACAGTATGCAATATTTACTGGATGGTCGACTAAGTTTTGGACACAATTCATTGTATTTCATAAGCGCTATTATCATTCAGAATTTCACAACTTTGAAACTCGATTTTTCTAGATCTCTTCCTTCCTTACGCCATTCGTCGTATGGGTAGTAGAATTTTCCAGAGATTTGGGTGAACGGACAGGTGCTGAATAATTTCTGTTGCACCTATTCTCAGCTGACTCGACTCAAAGAGTTTGCGTTATCAATCTCTCCTTACACCCTGTGTTATATTAGATTTCAAGACTGTCAACCATGTCCTATAGTATTGCATGATTGTGTATCATTGCAGCTATAGCTGAGCTATTTTCTAGACTTATCGTATTATAGGGTCAACTAAACTAGGTTTTGTTTTAGTTTTATACTCCTTTAGTCTGATTGACTCAAATATTTGTCGTCACAATCATCGCACAGTATTAGATAAACCAAATTACTTTGTTCAATGGACTCCAAAGGATAATTTTAGCGGCATAATTTGCTTCTAAGTGAGTTTATCAGTGATCGAATACCACTTTTATTCCTGTTTTGTTGAGAATTCTACGTAAGATTTCAGAGGTTTCTTCTTTATTTTATGGGGAAGGAATACTGATGTCTACAATTCGTTATTGTTTGTGTTGTCATCCTTCTGTGTATATTTGTCATGTATTTCATCCTTATTATTATTGTCAGTGTTACTATCACTATTCTTATTAGGACAGAGTCAGTTATATTAGCGGAGCACAAAAACTAGAGAAATCTAGATTAGTTGACCCTAATAAGACAAATCTGGAAAGCAGTTCAGCCGTAACATTGGATGGAGATTGCTAGGCAATATGGGTAAGTCCAGTCGATGGGGTTGTGAAGCTACATTATGAGAATCGTCAAACAGCTGTAGGATGCAAGTGTACATTTTGTAACCAATCTCTTGCAGTTCAGGTGTTACAATAGAAACGATATGAAAAATTGTAAAGAACAACAGTTGAGACGCCATATAAGTCAAAAATCATACCGAGAAATTTCACAGCGTCAAGGAGTATTACGATGGCATTAGGCCTCAACTTCGGAGTATGTACAAAGCATCCTTTTCCAATAACTGAACTGTAGACAAACTGCCTGAATTAAACAAATAAAACATGGCTAATACAATTGAAGCATGAGATGTGCATACTCTTCTTCGCCTTCTTACAGCCACCACAAGTTATTACGCTTAGACAGCGCCTCTTCAGAGGATAAATCCTCAATAACATTGTGAACTGACACAGATTTACTCTACCCATGTGGCTTTATGAAACAGTCCAGGTAACCCTGTCAACGAAGAATTGTCTTTGTTTTTCGATTTGGAAGCATTTTGTTTGCTTGTTGATCTTTCTGTTGATATCGAAATAAGTCACTGAATTTCCGTCTGCATCATTCCCACAAGATGCTGAATTCGCTATTCGCGAAACCCTAGGTCCAAAAACTTCCTGACGATTGTAGTGTATTGGTTAAATTTTTTTGCAGAACTAGTGATTGTGTTAACTACGTAAACGTATCTGCCGCCCAAAATTTTCTTTTTTTTGAAAGTTTGTAGACTTTAAGTATGAAATATGATTATATTATTATTATTTATTATTGTTCCCTTGGGTTCCTAGTGGAACATAGGGCTTCAACTGCACGCCTCCACTTGCTTCTATCTTGTGCTGTACTTTTCACTTGCGTCCATGTTATTCCATACTGTTTCATCTCCTCTTCACACGATCTCCTCCATGTCACCCTTGGACGTCCCACTCGCCGCTTCCCTTTCGGGTTCCACTCGAGGGCCTGACGCGCGATGTCACTCAACGGCCTCCTCAGCGAGTGTCCAATCCATCTCCACTTCCTCCTGCATATTTGTTGGGCGATTGGTTCCTGTTTCGTTTGTTCCCATAGCTTCTTGTTTGTGATTCTTTCCGGCCATCTGATCTTCAGTATGGAGCGAAGACAGTTGTTGATAAAGGTCTGCAACCTTTTGAAAATATTCTTGGTGACCCGCCAAGTTTCTGATCCGTAAAGCAAAATTGACTTCACGTTTGTATTGAAAATCCGAATCATTTTGTTGTTGATGCTGAGTGACGAAGATTTCCAGATTGGTTTCAGGTTGATGAATGTGTTTCTCGGCTTCCCGATTCTCGATTTGAGGTCCTCGTCCGATCCGACTGCCTGCAATTGAGACAATGCTCCCTAGATAAGTGAATGAAGTAACCTCTTTCAAATCCCTCCCGTTGATGGTGATTGGCGGTGGGTGTTGTTGCTGTAGTTGGTTGGTTATTTTCATGACCTCTGTCTTGTCTATGTTCGCCTGGAGTCCTGTCTTTGCTGCTTCTTCGACCAGTTTGTCGGTTTTTGCTTGTAAGTCTTCGATTTTGTGTGACATCAAACATAGATCATCCACGCGAGAAATCCAGGTCTTCTAGGTCTTTCACGTTGGTCCAGAATATCCCTGTCTTCTCGTTTCCCACTGTCTGACGCATAATCTAGTCAACCACAATTAGGAATATCATTGGTGATAATAAGCACCCTTGTCTGACTCCTGTGTTTACTTCAAACGCTTCGCTGAGTTTTCCGTTGTGGATCACTTGACATGTGCCGTTGTCGTACAGTTGTTGAATAAGGTTGATGAATATTTGGGGTACGCCGTAGTACTCGAGTAGTTTCCAAATTACTTCGCGGTCAACGCTGTCGAAGGCCTTCTCAAAGTCTATGAAGTTGAGGTAGAGATTTGATTGCCATTCCATGCTTTGTTCGATGATAATGCGTAGAGTTGCAATTTGGTGAGAACATGATTTGCCTTTCCTGAATCCAGCTTGTTGTGGTCGGAGTTCTGTATCCAGTGCGTCCTTGATTCTCTCCAGGATGATGCGACTCAGGATTTTACTTGGCGTCGACAGGAGCATGATTCCTCGCCAGTTCTTGCTGAGTCCCAGGTCGCCCTTCTTTGGTAGTTTCACCAGGTAACCTTTCCTCCAGTCAGTAGGCACCTTTCCCTCTTTCCAGATCTTTTGTAATAATGGAGTCAGCATATCTGCCGTCGTTTCTGGGTCCGCTTTCAGTGCTTCCGGGGGTATTCCATCTGGTCCAGCCGCTTTTCCAGCTTTCAGAAGCTTGATTGCATTCATGACTTCAGTTTTCGTTGGAGGATTGGTGTCAACTTGCAGTTGTGTACGTGCTGTTGTTGGTATTACTGGACGGGTTGTAGGTGGTGGTCGATTCAAGAGTCCTTTGAAGTGGTCCACCCATTGTTTAATCTGTCTTTCTTCTTTGGTAATGCGGTTCCTTTGGCTGTCTTTTATAGGTTTCACTTGTGTTGATCTCTTCCCGGATAGAGACTTGGTTATCTGATATAGTGTCCTCAGGTCCCTTTCGCCTGCTGCCTTCTCAGCTTCAGTAGCCAGGTTGTCGTAGAATTGTCTTTTGTCCTTCCTGGCACTCTTCTTCACTTCTTTGTCCAGTGCTGTGTAAGTTGAGTTCAGCGTCTCTTTCTCTTGTCCATCTTTGCATTGAATCATTTTTTCTTTCACCTTTCTCCTCTCCTCTATTAGTTTCCAAGTGTCTGTTGAGAGCCATTCTTTGTCTTGTTTCTTCTTTCTTCCTAAAACCGTTGAACACGTTTCGTTGAAAATTACCTTTAGAGAGTTCCAATGGTCTTCCACGGATGATTCCTCAGTGGTGCCACGTAGTGTTTCCTGCTTTGCTCTGACCGTCGCAGTGAAAGTGTCCTTTGTGGTTGTGTCTTTCAGTTTTTGCGTGTTGAACTTGCATTGTGACCTATCCCCAGGTATCCTCGAGGCTTTCAGCTTCACCTTGAAAGTCCCTTGTACTAGATAGTGGTCTGAACCCACATCTGCTCCTCTCCGCGATCTTGTGTCCAGTAGGCTCCGTCTCCATTTCCTTGAGATTGAAATGAAGTCTATCTGGTTTTTGGTGTGTCTATCTGGTGAAATCCATGTTGCCTTGTGTATATCCCTGTGTTTGAACACACTGCCACCAATCACCAAATCATTGAAAGCGCAGAAGTCTGAGAAGAGTTCGCCATTTTCGTTCATTTCACCGAGGGCCTCACGACCCGTGGTGAGTTCTCTTCCTGTATTGTCTCCTCCCAGTTTCGCATTCATGTCACCCATCAGGATTTTGATATCGCTCTTTGGGACGTTGTCCATTACTGCTTGTAGTTGACTGTAGAAATCCTCCTTCTCATGTTCTGAGGCGTTTGTAGGCGCGTAGCACTGAATGATTGTAACCTTCTTTCCTTTTGAGTTGAACCTGGCTGTCATTATCCTGGAGGAGATTGGTTCCCACTGCATGAGAGCTTTAGCCGCTGTTGGTGACATCATGATGGCTACTCCCTCGGTGTGCTCGTGATCGTCCTCTGGGTGACCGGAATAGATAATTATCTCTCCAGTTGGCAGTTGGCACCTTCCGCATCCGTTCCATCTGCTCTCGCAGATTCCCAACACTTCTATTTTATATCTCCTCATTTCTGCGGCTACCTGAGCAGCCTTTTCAGTTTCGTACATTGTACGAATATTCCACGTCCCCATCCTTATTTTTGCTTTCATCGAAAGCAGGCACATCGGCTGACTGGCTTCCCGAATGCTTTCACCAGCCTGCGTCATTTCACTTCCCCGATTTCAGCGAAAAATAAGGTCATTGTTTGTATTTGTAGAATTTTTAATATATTTGTGCGTTGAAGTTTTAGTAGCAATTTGGTTAAGTTTTGGGGGTGAAGTTGCTAGCACCACGCCCCAACCCTCCCTCTTTATCCGGGCTTGGGACCGGCTAGAATACTAGTGACCTAGTAATCTAGGCGAGGTTATGAAATATGATTATCGTCATTATTTTCTTCTCACACTGTTATCTCCTTTCAGCGTCAAATACGTCGTCTTAAAAATGCTGCTGCCGAGCTACGTTCAGCTGTGGAAATGAAACAAAATATTGTTGCAAGAAAATCAAAATCAATCAAGGATCCTAAGACGCTTACATTCTATTTCGGTGTAAATGTTATGAATCGTGCTTGTGATGGTATGTTTGTCTATAATTGTTCGCGTTTAATCAAAATGTACCAACGGATTGGGCCACAACAAGATTCTAGTATGATGTGCCGTGGTGTAGTTGGAATTGTTGATGTCCCCTATATGGTCCTTGGTGAGTTATATATACATAATTCAACGTTCATTTATTATAAGGGTGTTTTGTAACTGAAAATACAGTGTGTTTCACACAGGTATAAGCGTAACGGAGGAAGATAATAGACGTGGTAATGGATCCTTACTAACTAAAAACATTTTTATATTTCCTAGACACATTGAAGGTTGTCTAGGTCAGAGGAGAGAATAAATTGCTCCGGTGGTTAGGTGGCAGCTGACCCAAGGTAAAACCAGCTAGTTGTCCACAACGTAAATTAATTTCAGGTTTGAAGAATTAATACTTCTACCTCTACAGTCATTGACTTGAAACGTTGATTTCAGTTTTGTCCGCTTCTTATCAATGTTAATTCATGAATAATCCCCATCCAGGCATTAATGAAAACAAAACATGTAGTTCAGCGCAGAGTTTCTTTTCTTCGAAGTCATTTTCTTAGCTGTACCATCTCACATATATATATATATATGGGTTAATTTGTATGTTAATGTTCATTAAGTTTGTCAAACAAAAATATGTACCATTGGTTTTGATTATTTTAACTAAAAACAGGTGGGAATTAGTAAGTTTTGGGTGGAGTTACGTATTACAAAAATGGTCAAGAAACTTGGGTGTTAGTGAAACTAGGGTAGTAACAAAGGTGATGAGTTGTCACAAACAGTTGTTAAAAAGGAGTTGCGTAATAATATGAATAGTTTGATGATTGAGTTGTACTCAGGATGCACATAGGAACAAGGTGGAGAATACGAAATCACATAAGAGGTCTAAATGAATACAAGAATTATAAGCAAATAAAGAAACAGGCAAACAAACAAAATTAAGTCATCAAAAATCAACAAGGTTGTTACCATGATAATAGAAGTGGTTGAGTAATTCTCTTTTGTATACACAGTTCCGGTTTTTTTATGTGAATGGCCAGAGCTTCAGTGACACAAAAAAGACGAAACCGTTTTGCCTTTGGTAGGTTATTGTTGACTGTGTAGATCACTTTGAAGGAGGCGTTTGTTGAGATGGAATGATCGGTGTTAACCAGGCGTTCAATTGCCGCATTATAGCACCACTATTGCGTTTTCGCAACCATGCTGTATAGTGTTCTTGAATCCTCTTGGACAGGTTGTGCGTCGAACGGTCGATGTACCTGGCTCCACAGCAGCAGGTTAACTGATATATGCACATAAAAGTGGTCAGATGCGAGATCTTGTCCTTAAGGCTTCTGTAGATCAGTGGAGGACTGGAGAGCACTATTCTTAGCCTTGCTGTAAAGATGCGATCCTTCCCTTGAAAATATCGCTTGTTAAATCTCCATTGAAATCCAAGTTCATGTAGAGTTTCTTTTTCGGTGCAAGTGAAGTTTCATTTCTTCAAATTCGTGGTTTAATATTTTTGTCAATGAATCTTAATGGGTATCCATTTTGGATGAAGATTTCTTTCAAAAGATTTAATTCTGTTTCTAGAACATCGGGACTACAGATGTGTCGGATTCGGGTGCCGAGGGATTTAACTAGAATGGGTCCCCAGCTATAGAAACTCGTTAGTTGACTATTCCAAGTAGCTTTTCTATGGATCGATCTTCTTAAGGTCCCATCAGTTCTTCTTGTTAGTTTCATATCAAGAAAGGTGATGTTTGATTCATTTCCCATTTCAAGAGTGAATTTTATTGCTGGATGGCAACAGTTAAATGTTCGCAGCAGTAGATTTGGGGTCATTACTGTTGACACAAATAACCGATCTGTGTCACTGCACAGTTTACTTCACACCGGCTTATTTACCATAACTGGCTATTTCTCTTGTGACTAGCTGGTTCTTTTTAGGTTTATTTTTCTACCTACAATCATCTGGCACACTGGTAAAAGGATAGACCAATCAGCACCAAGCTATTTTGTGGCACTTTTTTAAAAAGTACTCAACAAAAAGGGAAATACTATTATTATCAAAACACAAATATGGTACATCATGGTCATCAAGAGATGCGCCACCCAAAATCTCAGTTTGTGAAAGGGTTGGGTTGCTAACTGGGCACCCAGATCGAAGCAAGGGGCTTGTCTTTGGGGTCACCTTTGGAGACTTTGACTTGAATTCTGATCCACAAGGCAGTGAACCAACGCTGGGAGCTGCATTCCCATGGTTTTCGGTGACTAATCAGGTGTGTGAGCTATTCTATCCGTTCGAATACTGGAGCTCATTTACACCTTGGGTTTTGAATCATCTTTCTCAAACTCCCCTGAGGAGACTAGCATGTCTATCAGTCCGGTTGTAAGCTCCAGACGTTTGAATTCGCCTTTTATCTTTTGTGAGGAACACCCGTGCATGCGTGAAGGCACGGAAACAGGACTTACATGAGAGAGGGGAGGCTATGAACGCGTGGCCACTAGTGAGGTCTTCCCACCCCCTCAACTGTACCAGGTCGTTTATGCTGGTGTAAAAGCAGTGGATTGAAAGTTAGTTAGGTAAACCGATAAGTCACATCGTCTGGTTTCTCAATTTATTTAACAATCGTCATCCACATATTTCGTGACATTCTTCTGTCAATAATTCAATGCACTGCATATAAATTATGTATGCTTTCCAACGAAATGTTGCATAGTTATGAAATAAGGTGTCACTTAATAACCACTTGTGCAGTCGGCAATGAGCCGCATATATTGTACCGTGTTTGGGGGGTAGTGATACTGGCTGAAACCTGCCCAAACCTCGGCAGGTGGAATAAAGGTCGAACCTATGACGAATTGGTTATCAGTTGGGCGTCTAGGCCAGTAAGCCACAACTCCAAGTTATACGCTACAATTGCCAATTGGAAAGTTTAATAACTTGCAGTTTGTATGTTTTAATGTTGATACAATCTGATCTAACCTTATTTTAAATTTTTTTTGTTTTCGCATTCCAGAGCCCACACATAATAAACAAGATTTTGCAGATGCTAAAGAATATCGTCAATTAATGCGTGCAATGGCAGATCATTTAATGCAGTATTGGGATGATCTTGGAATCGATAAAGAATCAGATAGTTTAATACGATTTTGGAAAAGTTTTGGTTATTTGTCAGCACGTTGGCGGGATCCACCCAGTATAGAGGATAAATATGCCCGTCGTCGTTGTTGTTCCGTTTCTATTTGTGTCCAGTGTGGTAAGTAATGAAGCTACCTTGTCATTTTAATGATTCCGTTTTCGTCATCAGCATATCAATTGGGTGGAGGGTGATAATAATTAAGGGATAGTTTGATTGGACACTAGTAACTAGTGTGACTTGTCTAGTTCTCTCTTTGGTGCAGACTAAGTCAGGTTTGCAATGTGGCCACCATTCTAGGTAGCTCGCCATGATGGTGCACATTGATTTGATGATATTAGGTAGTTGGATGCAATCGGCCACAGGAAGCCTAGCCTGGACCTAGGTTTCGTGCTAGTTGGCACTCACCAGTCAACAAGGCGTATCTGCAACTGCCTTGAAGGAACTCATGTCCCTGCTTCTGAGATTCGAACCCGCGTCACCCAGTGCTGCCAGTAGTCAGAGACGTTACCATCACTGAGCTATTCGGGCTGGCTCGCGATTGACTCCCTGTAGGACTGTGGTGCTATTATCCACTGTAGTATCCACTAAAGTTCTACAGGAGGTCAATCGAGAGCCTGAATAGCTCAGTGGTAACGTCTCTGACTGCAGCACTGCGTGACACGGGTTCGAATCTCAGAAGCAGGGGTATGAGTTCCTTCAAGGCAGTTGCAGATACGCCTTGCTAACTAGTGAGTGCCAACTAGCACGAAACCTAGGTCAAGCAAGGCTTCCTGTGACCGATTGCCTCCAACTATCTAATAATTAAAGGATAAAAATGACTGCAAAAACTATACAAGTCTACGAGCTTGCTTTGTAGCTGGAAGATCCTGGGTTCGAGACCCGGTGGTTGCGTACTGCTGATGAGTCCCAAGCTAGGACTAAACTGTTTTTCAATGGTTCTCTAACTGATATCAGTCCGTGTTAAAACTCAAAGAAAGTAGTCAGGATAATATTAAATAATTAGATCAGTAGTGATAACTTGTAAAAGACTTGGGGAGAAATTGTCAGATTTTTTTTACATTCATGTAATGATGGACAAGGTAAGGAAAGTAGCTTTACGAATTCCATCTGAACATACAGATTTGGCCTCACCAAGTGTATATCGAAGACGAACTCGTAGTTAAACTGATACTAGTCGAAATGTGACAAGCAACTTTAAATACTTTATTAGGATCAACTGCATGCGCTCATTATCTACAATGTGTGCTAAAGCTACGAATAAACCTTTTTCGTTCTTTGCTTAATCAATCAATATGATGTTCAGAAATCCGAAGATGAGTATACCTTATTGGTACACCCTTTGTAACTAGCAGTCAAACCAATACATACACAGAAGAGTCGAAAGTAGGTGCTTTATTCTTAATTCCTGAACGTAAAATTGATGTGGTTGCATTCTATAGGTGCTGTGTTATTATTTCAACTGATATTATCACCAAGATAATACAGTTGTATGAATAAGGGCTTCTATGAGACTGTTGCCATACTGAATTGTCTTGACACAAAATTCATATTTCTATCAACGAATTTACCATTTCTACTGAGTATTTCTCTGATAAAATGATGTAAACATTCTATGGTTATCCCATTTTTTAAACCAATCTCCACAAGTACAATCAACATGATTAACAGTTCTGCATGCATAGATATGAAAGAATGCATGTCGTGTCCTTTGACAGCTAATTTATGTTATGGGCGTTATCACCACTGTATTGGTGAATGTTTGCTTGGATGGAGGATTTCATCATGAGCTGTGCGTCGGTGGCACAGTGGTTAGGACTCTCGCCGACCATGCACATGGTCCGGGGTTCGATCCCCTGCTGACGCACACCCGATATCTATGGTCGGCCTGCGAAATTTGGGCTACCGATATCCATGCTGAAAATGTCATACTTGTACTGAAAATATGGTGTGGCATCAAGCTGTAATAAAAAAAATCAGTTAGAGAACCACTGGAAAACCTGGAAATACTGGACAGCTGTTTCGTCCTACTTTGGGGCTCTTCTTCAGGAATTCGAACCCATGACCTGGTTACGAGGCGAGCTCGTAGACCACTGAGCCACTCGGACTCGATCCAGTGACCCATGAATTCTAACTTCTGCCAATTCACGACATAGCACTACCATTTCGCAGTGTCTTCTTCATCCGTGAGTAACTGTCCTCACCTTCAACCTGCTGTACCCTACTGGTCACGGTTTCCCACTAGAACCCCAGGTCACTGCCTGAATAGGGCCAGTCGCTAGTGTGATCATCAGATTAATTTTCAAGTATTGATTTTGTAGGGATTTTGTTTGATTGGGTAGAGGATTTCATCATGAGCTGACATCAGTTAAAGAACTACTGAAAACCTGGGAGTACTGTACAGCTGTTTCGTCCTAGTTTGGGACTCTTCAACAGTACGCGCCCATTGGGGTTCGAACCCAGGACCTACCAAAAGTTGCTATACACTTATTAGATTAGAGCCATAGACGAGGATACAATTGTAAAGTAAATATTTCGCTGAATCGTTATCTTTTCTAAATGTTCACTATACGTCAGTCTATACCATCTCTGACAATGGCAAAGCATATTCGTCATCATATTGAGTCTACTTCGAAACAGTTCTCTGTATTATCCTTATGGTACGACTGATATTTATGAGTATTGAAAATGGGAAATCCAAGGATACCACATTTCTTTTTCATCTTTGTTGTCGTCTAAGCAACTCATGCGTGTTAGCGTGGGGTGCAAAGTCAGAATGTCTGACTTTAAGGTCGATCACAAACTGATTTCAGTTAGAGGGAGAGAGAGAGAACCATTGTAAACCAGGGAGTATTGGACAACCACTTCCTCCTTGTTTGGGACTTAGGCAGTGAACACCCATGACACCTTTGAATCGAACACAGCAACTTTAGGTTACATGGCAAGCTGGTATATCATTAGGGGCCACTGGGATGGGATCCAGTGGACCATTAATTCTAACTTCTACCAATTCGCGATATAAAGCTCGGTCACTAGCCAGTTTCACTGACTAGTATTGGCCTTGATATTCAGCCTGACACACCGCTCTACTCATCACTTCTCAGCAGAACTTCAGGTGACTTCACCCTGTAGTCAGTCACTAAATTAACTTTCATTTGTTGATGTGCAGGGATTTGACTAAGTTCAAAATCGATCTCGGCAGATAATAGTCCATCAACGGTGAGGAAACAACTGTCTAGTACTCCCTGGTTCTCAGTAGTTCAATAACTGGCATCAGTTCGTGACCAATCTTGAAATCAGTTAAAATCCCTGCAAAGCAACACATGAAAATAGTAGAATCAATCGACACGAATATGAATCCATATTATTTAAGTTTAACATCTTAGAGGTACCTACTGAATATCTCTTTACTACATAATGTCAGCTTCGTGCCCTTGAAATACAAACACAATCTGATAAAGTGCTTGGTTCATAGAGCAAGAGCAATCTGGTCGGATGAATACCTTAATGAGGAACTTAATAATATTAAATGGTTGCTGAGTGAAAATGGTTAACCAGAAAAGTTCATTGATAAGAATATGATTCAAAAATCAATACAGCCTAAGGTACCAACAGTTCCTAAAAATGCCTTATTCTTACAAACTCAGTTCCTTGGAGATAACATTAGCCAGATACTAAAACAACGCTTCAGGAGTGCGGTACAAAGAGCATTCCCTGCTGCTGAATTACGCTGTGTCTTCAAAACCACCCCTATTTCGCGTTTGGGAGCAAAAGGCAAACTGCCTGATTTCTCCTCTTCCATGTGTATCTACCAATTTAACTACTCCTGTGGAGCCAGTGACATAGGCCGCACAATCAGGCGCGTTTCTCGTCGAATTTCCAAACATCACCCTGCACAATGGTTAAGTAAAGGACAAACAAAATCTATTCGCAGCGCTATTCTATCTCATCTTGTGGATACAGAACACAAGGTTGACGTTAACCATGCTTTCAGGGTCATTTACTGCATACCAACAAATCTCAATTTTGCCTTAATAGTTCGTTTACTAAATATTGCTGAAGCTGTTGGGATCCACATTAAGAAGCCTATTTTATGTGGCCAAAAGAAGCTGGTTTAGACCTTGTCCTTACCATGGCCATGAAGGTTCGAATGATCCTCATTTTGTTGTTATCATAATTTAAGCATCTGTAGTGAACTGTAATTCTGTTGATCTTACTTAACAAATTGATGTTATTTAAAAAACACCAACATTGTTATTGACTACTATTCTAGAGTGTTCTGCGTATATAAACGTATGTATATAATTGTAGATCCAGCGGAGGAAGTTATCGAAAAGGATATTCTTTGCTCAATTATTTTGTTTTTTAGTACTTTTGTCTATTCGTATTGGTGTCACAATCCTTGTAAGTATCGTTGTTTGTTTCTTTTAAATTTCCAGATAAATGTCTAAAATGGAGAATACTTCCGTTCTCACAAAGTCTTGTCGGACGAGATGTCCCAGATAATTGGCAATGTCGAGATAACACGGATCATAAGCATAAAAAGTTTGTAGCTTTTATTATTTGCTGTGCACATTTTACCTGATAAATTCATGTATTATTAACTGGTCGTGTACAAGGATTTGATTGGTTACCAGCTGGCATCGAGTTAGAGAACCATTGGAAAACCTGAGAGTACTGGACAGCCGGTCTTCCAACAATAGAGTTACTAGTCTGTTGTTACAAGCAATCTGTTTTTGTCTTTAACGCCTTTACGTCTCTCTGAGCACACGATTTTCATCAGACCAGATGTACAGAAAGTGTCGACAATCATGTGGAGAGAAGTTTTGCAGTGATATTCAGCTAATAGATTTCAAATTATGGGATTTATAGGGATTTGGAGTCATTTCAATTGTCAGAATTCATGGGTAATTGAATTCCGAACCATGTGGCTAAATAGTCAATGAGTATTGTTTCGTAACCCCCTAAAGCCACTGGGCTCAATTCCTGGTGGGGTTGTCGGTGCACATTGCTGAACAACCTTAAACTAGAATGAAACAGCTGTTCAGTGCTCTCTGGTTTCCAATGATCTCTCTAACCAGTGTTAGTTCCTGACGAATTTAATAGATTCCAGTTAGCATCTATGCTCGAGATCTGAATGTCTGTTTCCTATCTTAGCGTGCTATCATCAGGTGGCTGATTATTTATTACAGTTGCAGACCGAAGTAATTTAACCATCTGACAATTGCAATCTGAAATCTTCAGCATTCTCTATTTATTTTCTCTAACTTATACAAAACACATTGGTATGTGACTCATTCATTAACTTTACAGCCAACTGGTCACAGGGTGGGGTCACCTTCCATTTACTTCAGTCCGGGCAACTGGGTAGTATCATTAGCCATCACATGATAGGTGTGGTTGTTAGCCTTGTGCGTGAAGGATCTGTTCTGGGTGATTGAGTTCACACAATTGTATCATATCATCGCATTTCTTCCCAGTCGAATTCATGTCTCAAATAGTATACATTGTCATTGGCTTCTGTGTGTGTTTATGAACCGCCAGTTGTATGCTTTTTATTTTTAAGGTGATTAAATACCAAGCTACACGTTTGCTGATGTAAGAGTTTTCTCATTTTTCACTAAGTTTTTTGTCTTTAGGATATTCATTCATTCTTGCAAGTTATTATATATTATTGCCATTATCATTCCCTTGGTGCGTCGGTGGCATTGCGGTTAGGACGCTCGCCGACCATGCACATGGCCCGGCGTTCGATCCCCGGCCGATGCACTTCTTTACCTCGCTAAGCCAGAAATAGTACTGGTGAAGAGGAAACTTGAAGCCCTATGTTCCACTGGGGAACGTGAAGGAAAAAAATCATTCCCTTGAGTTCCGAGTTAAGCATAGGGTTGCAACAGGACGTCTCCGTTTCATTCTGTTCTCTGCAGTCTTCTCGATGTGGCCCCTCGATTGCCCATTAACTCTCATTTCATCCTCACACAATCTCCTTTATGTCCACCTCAGACGTTATACCGTCGTTTCCCATTCAGATTTCACGCAAGCGATAGCCTGGCGCGAGATACTATTCGACGGTCTCCTCAGCATGTATCCAGTCCATCTCCATATCTTTTATCCAGGATATTTGTTGAGCAGTAGGTTCTTGGTTGGTTGGTTCGCAAAGTTTCTTGTTGCTACTTTTTCTGACCACCTGAGCGAAGGCAACTGTTGATAAAAGTCTGAATTAGCCTGTCGGAAATGCTTTTCGTGACGCTTGCACCAAGTTTCTAACCCACATAGAAGAACTGATTTAACATTATTCCCCCAAACCGGGATCGAAAATTTCAAAAAGGGTCTCAGTTTCACTGACTAGAATGTTTCGACCGCTTGTGTGGGAAACCAGATGTCCTCTAACTCAAGCAAAATGCTTGGATTTCGTGGTTAGTAAGAACACCTCTTGGTGATGTTACGTATGTATGTATAGTCTTTGAAATACACCTATTAAGTAGCTGTGTTTCTGTAATTTTCGTAAATCTGTATATGACATACTGATGTTTGTTGGATCCGAGTTATGTGGAGCACAATAGTTTTCATGTAACAGATTATTGAGCTAAATTTAATGTGTGAGGGCTGATGATACTGTCTAGTTGCGCAAGCTGGAAGCAAGTGTCGTGGGATTCAAGCCCCCCGGGCTCACTATCTGACAATTTTAAGTCCTTAAGCCAACGAACCATATGTCGACATCAGTTATTGGTCTGGATGAAGGCCTTATTCTTCTAAGGCAATGTTGTGCAGCCCGAGAGTGGGAAATGACAAGTTCGGACGTGGGTCAGAATGTGTGTGACACAAAGAAGGAGGAGGAAAGCTTAGGGGGTGATTGTGGAGTCAGCTAGAAAAGACTTCAAAGGACATAGTGAGATGTCTGTTGAAACCCTTTGTTCCAGTCAGAAGTCAAGCGACGAATACTAATAAAAATAATAATAAATTCGTGGATATTCGCTTACGATTTTATCTGTCATTTGTGTTCATACTTTTCTCTATTGGTTGGTTAGTGTTGTGATTTCTCTTTCTATATTTTCGAGGTATCACTATTCTGTGTAATAGATTCCTAATTGTATTACATTTATGAAAAGTATAAATAGCTGTAGCATGACCAAATTTCAAGCACTACTTTCACAGTTTTGTCTTTAAAAGTCTTTTTTTCCTTCACGTTCCCAGTGGAACATAGGGCTCCAAGCTAGATGCTTGAAGTTTCTGTAGCAGTGTTAATTTTTACAGGATGGGGTTGCTAGCCTCATGCCCAACCTTTCCGCTTCACCAGTCTCACTACTGGCTTAGCGAGGTAAGGGAGGATTGCGTCGGCCGGGGATCGAACCCCGGACCGGTGAGCGTCCTAACCGTTGTACCACCGACGCACTCGTCTTTAAAACCTAAGTAGATTAAAATGATATATATCAATATGTTTTCAAGGTAACTGATTTAAGTATTTTGTTGTTTTGAGGAAATTTTTCAGCCCTGATAAGTTTTAAAATGTGTTTCATTCTTTGGCATAAACTTTTAAGATGTGAAGATCCTGAAGAAGATATGAGTCCGCCAATGGGAGTTCTTAAGCGAAAAATTAAAACGAAAGAACAAAGACAAGCAGAACTTGAAAAACAAATCCGCAAAAAACAGGTAAGCATTGTTGTTTCAATGATTTATTTGTTCTCTTGTTGTGTGAGTTAGTAAAGAGAAAAAGATGTCTATTCGTGTATGAATAGTTTTCATATCGTTAGCCAGCTGAGGTTTTTACTAGTTTTAAAATGAAGTTATCCACTCACTATGTTCACCGTCTTCATTTCTGAACGAGGCTTTTACTGATGAAATTTCTGTTATCTAGGAGGAACTTGAATTAATTCAAGATCCGGATGATGAAAAAACTGATGATTCCAGTGCCACTTCTAACCGTAGTAGTCGGTTAAGTGGATCTGCCAATGGCAAATCTCCACGTAAACGGCCTTCTCAACCACCTCAACCTACTGCAGATCCTCCGAACAAAAAATCCACTCATGCTCCTCCGCCGCCGCCGCCTCCTCGTGCTATGACAGTTGCTGATAAGAAACGTCAAGCTGCTGGATTAGCATCATCCAATGGTCCTTCATCTACAACAGCTGAAAAGCGTACTGGTTTACCGTTACCGACAATTAATCAACGCCAACCACGTCCTGGTGGATTAGTCCCTAAAATCCCACAGCGTAATTCAATTGCTCCTAAAGTAAGTGAATAAATATATACCACGTTTAATTAGATTCAATAAGTTGATTTTCATTGCTTCATTTAGAATGCATTTCGTATTTGGTGAAAGGGGGAAGCATTTCATTTATGTGTGAGTAATTATGGTGTAGTTTCCGAAACGTTTTCGCTATGATTTTTAATCGACTCTCACTTGTACAGGTTGGCGATTATTAATCTCTTAAAGTTTGTTTCTTGGTATGAAAAATCAATAAGGACCTTGACTATGCACTCCTCCTTATGGTGAGTGGGTTTGATCGTTAATTGATGACATTTACAGTCATCTTTTGAAAGTTCCACGGCGACAATATCTGTTAATCTTCACAGTCACCAGTGTTAGTGTCACTTTTAATACCTACAGCCCTAAGAAATCTTCCCTAAGTTATTAAATATTCTGTTATTCTGTTCAGTTAGCTGTGCATATCTCTACATCATTCCTGCTATTCGGTAACACCGTCTAACTAGTTCTTAAATCTGATAATGCACCTCTAAGTGCCTAAAAGCGATATTCTTCCAATAAGTGATGTCCACTAGTTGACCAAGGGCTGGATATACTGTCTCGATGTCTTCTATACTATTCTCTTTTTGGTAGCCCTGAAATTGATTGTGGTGAGACAGAAGCAGTGTAAAGTGTGTATTAGGATAAAAGATAACTTTGGTGAGGCAGCTCAGTGTTAGTGTGTCACAACTATTGGAGTGTTATCGTAAGATTATGTAGCTCACTCACAAAGTGTTTAGAGAGAACTGTCCTCAACAACCGATTGTTTCACCGTTTTTATTCAATTTTGTCATATGTGTACTGATGTTAGTCTACTGGACTCCGTAAATGTCCGAAAGACCGAGCGACAATGCAGTATTGCCAACCCTTATCCAATTTTGTCGTGAATATATATATATATATATATATATATATATGACTTCGTGGTGAGCACCAATGGTCAAGATTTCTTGATAGAACTTCAGAAAACTTATCTTAGAGTCAGTCCTTAATTGATCCATTGAATTCCCACCCACTGGGTGAACGGTAATACATTCGCCACCTAACCCAACATGGGATTGTGGATGAGGTTGATGTGAAGAGATACTCTTCATCAAACGATATTTTTGGTGAGACAGAGTCAGTGTAAGCCGAATAAAAATATTTACTGGTTATGACCTAATAAGGTTGAAGAATTTGGTCTTTCTCTCCAAATGCTCTCGTGTCGCCGTGCTTTTGTAGCCGCTCTCTGTCGGGTAAGTCCTATAGCCATTACCTTCACGTGGTGAGGGTTTTGTTCACAAAAGCAAAAGGAGAGGATTTGAATATTTGTCGCTTACGACCGGACTGATGTACATATACTAGCCTATCTAAGGTAGCTGGAAAACCCTGATTCCTAACTTGCAGTTTGCATGGGCTCCAGAATCCGAAAGGATCAAATGGTGTATGGACCTGTTTTTTGGCCATTGGGAACCATGTGAACACACTGCCGCACTATCTTGTGCATCAAATTTCAAGTCAAATGCTCACAGAGTGGTTTCTTAAGATAACCACCTGTTTCGGTCTGAGCGTCAGGATAATATTCCAGTCCTCGCATAAACTATGAGATTTTGTCTGACTTGTCTCTTGGTGCCTATAATCTACCAATGTTGTTACCATAACAATATGTATTCTTAACTTTGTAGGTACGCAGAGTTACAACAGCTGAAGATGAAAGCAGCAATGAAGAGACTAGTGATGAAGAAGAAGACGAGGAGGAGGAGAAGGAGAAAGAGAAAGAAGTCACTAAGCAGACAACTCCGAAAACTAATCGTAACAAACCAATTACTCCTCCATCAAAAGTGAATAATCCTGTTGTTGTTGCAGCGACGAGTAGTTCAGTAAGTGATTTTATACCATTTTCCAATCTTTCCCTAATTCAAAAGGGGATTTCTATCGGTAGTAGCCAATAATAAAGACGTGTTGCCCCCATGCTGAGTCATCGCTTTCATCGATAGGGAATGTGTTAGCTGAGGTGGAATTATGTATGTTCCAAAAGAGTTAGGAGTGGTCGAAGCAAAAAAAAATACCGCCATCAGTGTCTCCATGATGGTTTTTTGATAGTTGGTTTTGGCCATTCCCTAGGAAGGCAGAGACTGACTGACTGATTGGTTTCAACATACAACTTTGCACCAACGTACAGCAGTTCAAGTCGCCACACTTCACTCAGCACACAAAGCCAGAGAAGTAGAAGAAAGTAAAAATAAACGCAAAATAGAGGCAGTAAACAGAGATATAAGGCAAAAGGAACAATAATATCGTAGAACAATATAGTTTTATTAGGTATTATAAGTCAAAAGGAGTGGATGCATCTGCACCACAGAACGAATTTGAGGCATATCACCAATTGTCTCCAGCCTTCGTTGGTTTTTGCCGTCCCGAGGACCCAAACCAGGAAGTCAGTCTACACCTTCCTACCTGACTAGCTTCAACTAACTGTTATGGATTTCATTGACCGATGAAGCCATGTTTTGGTTTGACCACCACTGGCTCTTTTCCAACCTGATCTTATATCATCTAACATTGCCCATTGTCGAGGAAGGGGATGACTAGGCATACGTAACACATGTCCTAACCATCTCAGCCGATGTAGCTTCACAACCTCGTCTATAGATTTTCCCTCCTTACCTAGCACTCGATGCTTAACCTCGGTATTGCTTACCCTACTATACCACTTCACACGGGAGATAGGACGCAGGCACTTTTAATCAAAGACAGCTAGTCTTTTCATCTCCTCTACTGTCAGTGGCCATGTCTCACTGAGAGCCATGAAGGAGGACGAAGCGGACTGTTGAGCAGTACACACGCCCTTTGGTCGACAACCAGCCGGATATCACGTCTACACCAGAGATGGCGTAAACTGGCATATGCGACTGTCTGAGGATACTTAAGAACCCACTACTTGTGACTTATGATTTCCAATTAAACTGTTTTGTTCTTCGTTATTACTATTCCTTTGTCTCACACCTCTGTTTACTGTCTATATTATGCATTTCTCCTACATTCTTCTCTTGCTTTGTGTGCTACATGGAGTGTGGCGACTCGAACTGCTGCACATCGGTGCAAAGTTCTGTGTCGAAAACAGACAGACCGCTGTCTTCCTTAGATATGATACAGTAACATTCTAATAAATTTCATTTGAATTTAGTCGATTTGTCTTTTTAAATAACACGCAAATATTATTCATCCAGTTATGCAGTATTATTAACACTTTATACGCTGAACCTTATGATTCCACTGGAGTTAATACTCCCGTGCTTATGTTGATGATTACAGCCAGTAGTATTTAGGCGCAGATGAAAGAAACTTCTCTTGTCGGTTGTCGTGGCAGTTTAGAGAGAAAAACAAACTGAGATCATTTAAGGACCCTGATTCACAGATACTTTTGTAACATAGGGGGTTTCAGACGAGATTTGGGATTACCGTCGGTCGGGAATCAAACTCTAACAACCCGTGTTTGGGCTGGCAAGCAAATGCTGCCCTTGAATTACTGACTATTCATTTTATGTGGATTCATAATAATAATAATAATAATAATAATAATAATAATAATAAAGCTTTATTTCAGACAAAATGCGAACGTATGGTACAAAAATTTTCAGCGGATTCAGTTCCAAAATACTTTTTTCTTCATACATGATTTACATGTAAAGTAATAATCTGAGGTATATCTTCATTTCGTTGAAGAATTGTACAGTGTTTACTTGGAAGCAAGTTAAATCAGCGCACAAGTTCATGTATAGGTCATTTGATATAACTGGGCGATTAAAACAATGATAAATCCGGATTAAATTAAGCATTGTGCTGGAAGGTAACTCCGGTAGCCCAATGAATTAAGCAGGCAGCCTTTTGTTATCACTTTTAACAGAATTTAGCATTTGGGTTGGACACTAGTAAGTAGTGTGATGTGTCTAGTCCCTTGTTTTGGTGCAGAATGAACTCAAGGTTGCAGATACGCCTTGCTCGCCATCAGGGTGCACATTGATTTGATAATATTAGATGGTTGGAGGCAATTGGCAGGAAGCCTTGTTTGACCTAGGTTTCATGCTAGTTGGCACTCATCAGCAGGACATATCTACAACCTTGAAGGAACCCATGTTCCTTCTGAGATCCGTACCGGCGGCACCCAGTGCTGCAGTCAGAAACGTTACCACTGAGCTATTAGGACTTGCGACTAACTGTAGTATTATTATCTATGTGTAGTTTAATGTATATTTGCAATTAATAGTGTTCTCTGTGCTGGTTGGTTTGGTTGCGGAGCTTTCGTCGTCCTTCTGGACATCTTCAGCGCAGTATTTAGCATAAAGTGAAATGATTTAAATTTCTTCATGAGTGGATATAATTGCGTCTCCTGGTAACCATCTTTACATATGTATTGACCATTTTCTATTGACTTGGATTTTAAACTTTCTGGTCACCTGATTTACTTTTTATTAGTCTATATTAACGTGTTTGTTAATTGCATTTTCGTTTGAGTACCAGGCTTCTAGGAATTCCCTGACTGCACTTATGGTGTTTCCCCTATCTACGATTTCGACATTATCACAATCAAATTGATGTCCATAATTGTCTATATGCATTGATACTTAAGAATATATATCATCTCTTTTCATGGCTAATTTGTGTTCGTGGATTCTAATTCAAAGGGGAAGCCCACTTTGGCCGATGTAATGCCTGTTGCAGTTCATACAATTTATTTTGTAAATGGCATTAATTTTATCTCCTTTTTCTGTTGGATCTTTCGGTTTGCATAACATCGAATTAAGCGATTTTACTGGCTTGTGTGCTATATCTATATCTAACGGTTTCAGTATTCTAGCTGTTATTTCAGAGATATTCCACATGTATGGTAGAATGAATTTTCTTGTGGTCTTTGATAATGGTTTCTTGTTGGTGTTTTGATTCGGCTTTAAACACTTTTTGATAAAATTTTGTGGATAACCATTCTTTTTGAAGACCGTTTGTAGGCATTTTTCTTCCATTTTTTTCAACTCTGGAGTGCTACAATGTGTTTGAACTCTTTTAAATAATGTCTGCACACAGTTTCGTTTGTGAGTAATTGGATTATTGCTAGTATAGTTGAGTATTTGATCTGTGTGCGTTGATTTTCTATATACTTGTGTTTATAAATCTCCTGTGTTGGTTCTCCTGATTATTGTTTAATCCACGTTTATAGATATTATCATTTGATAGAAAAATATATATATATTGCAACACATTACTTTCAATTATAATATATATCTGTCTACTAATTCTTTTGTGCCATTCACTCAGACAGTACCGAGTACTTCTCAATCCCAAGAGAGAAATACATCGAAAAGCACTGATGAAGTAAATGGAAAGAAGACCAGTAATACGGAAAAGAGTCCTGTACAAGATGTAATTACAATGCATCATCGGAACAGAAATTCAACGGATCGTGATAATAATGGTGAGGTAGCATCGATTCCAACAAATAAGTAAGTAATAAAAGAGAGAAAAATTGAATATGATTGATTTATGTGCATATATTTTTTCTCAATCTTTAAAATATGGCTCTCGACCTGTGAATTCTGCCTTAATGAATTTTGTTGAATGAAACCATAATAACAATAATAATAACAACAACAACCACTCGCAATTCCATGCAGTCGGGAACGAGTCACACCGGTTGCGTTCGAACTAGTGATATACTGTAACCGCAGAAGATAAAGGAAAACACATCACATTTTTAACAACATCAATATTCAGTTAGGTCAGCGGATAATTAAACTTTTCTGACTCGTTGGCGATTAGCCTCAGGTTAAACAATGAGACGACAAGTTTTCCAATGAGAATACTTGATGTCCAAAACGTAACCAGACCCAGGTTTGGGGAATAAACAACTCTACCTCTGCATCCATCAATTTAAAATTTTAATTTCAAATTTGGCCGCTTGATGTCAATCTGCCTGTGTATTTTTTTTATTCCTTCACGTTCCCAGTGGAACATAGGGTGGTTTCAAGCTAGAGGCTTGAGGTTTCAGTAGCAGTAGTGGATATTGTTACAGGATGAGGTTGCTAGCCTCATGCCCAACCTTTCCCCTTTACCAGCTTTTATTTCTGGCTTAGCGAGGTAAAGGAGTGCGTCGACCGGGGATCGAACCCCGGACCATGTGCATGGTCGGCGAGCATCCTAACCACTATGCCACCGACGCCTGTGTATGCTACTTATAAATCTTGTCCGTCACACATGCCACAGTACTACCTGGCTGCCCGAACTTCGGTAGTTGGAGCGGGACTCGGATGCGTAATTCACTAGTTGGAAGTCAAGTGTCTAGATCAATGAGTAACAGCCACACTATGGAATAGGACAAAACAGATCCATTTTATTTCAACTGATTGATGTGATCATTGATCGGAGTAACTATGCCTAATTATACATTCAAAAATGTGCTAATGTTTGAGGGCTCTCAAGGGCTTGTGCTACAGCAGGATCGTTGTGGTCTCTCAATAGTGGCTGTATTGAGTGTGTTCTGTTCTCCTGAAAACTAATGTATAATTACCCAATCCAATGGATGTATCATTGTGTGAGTTAGCTGGTTCCTCCTGCCAGTAATCATATGCTTGTCACAGGGATTAAGCCATTCACGTCTAAGTACATACCCTTAAATGTTGAAACTGCGAATGGCTAATTAAGTCATCTGTGGCTCCTTACTTCATGGATAACTGTAGTGGTTACACACCTAATATATGCAGTTATGTCCTGACCCGCAAGGCAACAGGTGCATTCATTAGAACAGAACCTGTCGGGCTCAGTTTCAGCTGTCTCTTTTCAGTTCTATGATGATTCTGAATAACTTTAATGACTGCGGTTGGCCTTACGTTGGTAATGGATCTTTCAGATATCTGCCTTGACAACTTGTTGGTAGGTGATACTAAAGGTGAATCAAAGTTCGATTCAGGAGAGGGAGACTGAGATATAACTACCACATCCAGGTGCTTGAATTTCCCACTTCCGTCATAAAGAGGCAGTAACGAATACGGAATTCAACTGAGCCTCCGTAATCCGATTGAATATAATTCAAATCCTTTAATGAGAACCTATTCGGAAGTACGTCTAATGTCAACAGCCGCATCACCTCCACTCCCAAAGCCATATATAGATGTTGTTTCAGTTAAAGAAGCTCATAGTCGAATCTTGGTTGTGTGATCGCAGTCTTCGTTCCGATCAGAAATTGTGTTGGGTTCTGTGTAGTTGTGATACAGCCTTTCATCCTCATATCTGTGTAAGCGGGTGCTGATGATGAAGTTGACTGAGCTTGTCTTGCGCTCAGTTTGTTGGTATACTTCCAGATGTGTCTGTCAAAATAGCTAGTAAAGAAAATACTTTCCTCAGACCTATTTCCTCAAAAGGATTTATTTCTCTTGATCATTGGGTGTAACAAAACTGATCGATATATTCGAGTCTAAACTCCTCTACAATTTTTCTCCTCCTATAACGAATCCGAACTGAACTAAACTTGATTTTCTTCATCAAACAGAAGTACAGAAGTACAACAGTTCAAGTTCTCACACTTTTATAGAAACACACAAAGAGGTAGAAAACAAAGAAATATAATGAATTCTAAGTGTCATTTTGCAGGAAATTCATTTAATTGGTTACAGGATTTCATTATTATCTGATATCAGCTAGAGAACCATTGAAAAACCACCTGAGTCCCATTAGTTTGGGACTCATTAACATCACTCACTCAAGGGTTGTGTGATATGAAATAGGATGTTAATAGAGACACGTGTCCAAAAAATAAATTATGTAATAGGTAGAGAGAGTTAATAAAGCGTTGTTTAAGATGTTACTAAGATGTCATACAAAAATTCAAAATAACTCAGAGAAAGCAGTAGAACTTGGAATTATACCCAAGGTAGAAGGAGGGCGGGGAGAAGTTTCTTCTGTTTGCATAACATCAAGATTTTCTATCCGGATCGCAAGGCCTCCTCGGTAGTGCGAAGTATACGGAAGTTTATCGTTTTCGGGAGGCTTCTTTTGACTTTGTAGATGACTTTGAATGAGTTTTCTCCTTGCATATTGAATGACCAGTGTTGACTATATGTGCCCAATTATAACACTTCTTATTGATCCGCCAAGTGAGATAATGTCAAATGCAACAGATTTATCTTTGAAGTTGTTGTAGAACAATAGGTGGCTTGATATGATTTTGAGCAATAATTTATGCTTGAAATGTCATCCAGTTATGAATACAGCATGATCAGCATTCTGTAATTTCGCAACGACTAACCTTATCTAGTATGCAATAACAAGTGATGAAAACACTGACAGATTAAAAGTACTCACTTGCCACTTTGATGGAACTAGTTAAGTTGAGCGAGAGAGAAGTGCAACTGTTTTCACCTTGAAAAATATCACCCTCCACCTATATATATTATAAATACTACTCCAAAGGCTAAAATTGGCAACCACTACAGAATTAATTACTTGTCGTCTTCATAACCTCAAATTGAAAATTCACTTTATATATATAACCTGTCATTCCATGCGGAATAGTACACACAGTAGAGAAACACATACCTTACGAGATAGACAGACATACTGGCATGCTAGCATAATACACTAAGCAGTAATGCAACACTTTTGAGTTGAAAAGATGGATTGACTACAAAGAATGGGTAATTACGTCTATCCTTTTAAAGGAGCTTCCTGGGTCAAAAATAAGCTTCTCATCATAAGCTTTCTCGTATTGAGTGAAGCAATGGCAGGATCTGCCATCGCCACAGATATCATACATTAAACTTAAGTATTCAGCATCACTTAGCGTTTTCCAGTCTACTGCATTTCATCCTAATCTGTATCTATATTTGGATCCATTGATTGGTGGTCTTCGTGTGACTGTGGTTCATTTTATTATTCTAAAATTTGTCTTGATTTAGCTACTTGTCGACAATCGACTTGATTCCATATTAGTTTGTTTATTAAATATATATCATACAGGGAAACAGCATTTTTTACTGGTTGACAAGGTTTCGAACACAATTTATTACGGTTCATTATCATATCTGTGATAATCACACGACTTCGAAACTTAACTTTTATAGTTTTCTTTGTTCTCTCCTGTTTGTCATATGGGTAGTAGTAGACTTTTCTAGATATCTGCCTGGACAAATGTTGAATCATTCCCACTACACATATTTGCAGTTGATTCGACAAACAAAGCTTCCGTTATCAATTTCTCCCCCCCCTTCCGACCATGTTACACTAGGCTTTAAAACTGTCATCTTATCCCATCCCATTGTATGGTTGTGTGTCATTACATGTAGTGAGTGCTATAACTGAAATATTCCTCAGATTTGGTATCTTATTTGGGTCAACTAATCTAGATTTTCATAGGTTTTTATGCTCCGCTAGTCTGACTGACTGACTGACCCTGTTCTACTACTGTGACGTATGTATTTGACCTGACATACGATTGATGAAATGTTTAAGTAATAGGGCACAAAAACTAATTAGTATCAAGGAAAATCTAAGACAGGAAGTGAGGCATATAAGAGAAGCTTTGAAACTTATTAATTACCCAGGTAAATAAGTCAGAAAGTATGTAGTGAAATGTAAAAATAGAATAATGATAGTAGTAGTAGTAGTGATAATAATATTAATGACAATACACATGTCAAACATGCGGAGGATAATGATAACACCAACAATAGGGAATATAAATCATCAGTGTTACTTCCATTCAAGGAAGGAACCTTGGAAACCTTACGCAGAATTCTTAACAATGTAGGAATAACAGCGGCTGGCATTTAAACCCACAAACTCAATTAGAAACAGGCTTTGTGAGTTAAAGGATCCTGTAGAGCCAATAAAACAAAACAGTCTCATACTCTCTCTACCCTTATCTGTTTGAACATGACCTGGAAAACATTCGCACCTGTCTTTCTGCATGATTAATTTAATGTAGTTTATTTTGCTTTTCAGTCTTATATCTCCCAATATAATTCTAAAAGTGAATATATATCGCTGTATGTAGTTTATTCAGCTGACGAGTTCTGCCTAAGTTTGATGAATTCATTAAATCCTGCTTTATTAACCTTTATTGCTTGTTTTAAATTCGTATCGGGAAATGTTTTCAAAACAATATACTTTATCTAATACCCTGCAATAATTGTCAGGTCAAATACATAGATCAAAGTAGTCGAACAGGGTCAGTCAGACTAGCGGAGCATAAAAACCTAACAAAATCTAGATTAGTTGACCCGAATAGGATAGGAAATCTGGAGCTATACCACTCACTACACACAATTACACAAAACCACACAATCAGACGGGATAAGGTGACAATTTTAAAATCTAACATGACAGGGTGGAGGGAGAGATTGATAACGGAAGCTTTGTTTATCGAATCAACTGTAAACACCCCTGTAATAAGAATGATTCAACACCTGTCCAGGCAGATATCTAGAAAATTCTACTACTACCCTTACGACCATTAGGAAAGAACCAATTTTTACACATATATTGATCCACTTCATTATTTTTCATAAAAAAATAACCCGGAGGTATAATTTATCGGATGCGTGTGTGGTATTCGCTCAACAGATTTGTGACATTCTGACCACACACACGCTCTTGTCATGCATATTTATCTGTAATGCAATAGAATACAAAGCATTACAGTCCTTATCTATATAGGTCAAGATGTTTACAGGTTATGATCGCACACTTGGGGTAGGGAAATGAGGTAAGAAAAAAGGGAGTGTGAAAACATTAACAATTATTATTATGAATCCTCGTGCTGAAATTGAATTACTAAAGGTGATTTGGGGGAATCACAGATGATTTTTAGGTTGGTTTACGGGGATTTGATGGGTTACAGGAATTCATCATGATCTGACATCAGTTACAGAACCATTGGAAAACCAATTTAGAGTACTGGGCACCTGTTTCGGCCCACTAGTTTGTGATTAATTAATGGCACTCGCTTACCGACTGGGTTCGAACCCAGGACCTACCGGTTACAAGGCTAGCGAGCTCCTAGACCATTAAGCCACTGGGACCCGATTCGGTGGTCTATGAATTCCAACTTCTACCCAACCACTTAGAAATGTGTTCTGTAGTTCTAACCTGCAGAGATCATTGAGTCCTTTTTATGTACCTGTGACCATGCATGCGTATAAGTTAGTAAACACCGTGGGATATGACAGTATCATTAGGATACTGTGAGTACTTTTAGAACACTATAAATCTCTCTATGAAAATGAGTATCTCTATGGTAATTTCTATTGGGTGCCGCTTTGAATCTTGGGAGCTGACTGGATTAGTAGGGTTCTTTGTCCGACGCTACTGTAGCTTATAGTGAATTTCTGGGGGTTAACTACTATCTAATAATATTTTATTGAGGTTTCGTGTTGTTGTCCTCTGTACATATATTGCATGCATACGAAAAGGCAGTTATCTAACATGAGAGTATCGGACAGCTGTTTAGTCCTGGTTTGGGACCCCTCAGCAGCACGTACTCACTCGGATTCGAATGAATTTCAGTTATTCAAGCCATTAGGTTATGGTTACTAGTCGCTTCACTATGAGGATAAACGGACAGTCACATCAAACACTCATATGACACAGTTGGGCATTACCCGTGGGAGTTGCAGTGAGATGATAACCTTGTGTAAGGCAGTTAAATGTCTCTTTGCTCGCCTATTTAGTAGACAACCGCCGCATTAGTTATTTCGGGGGTGACTGGTTCGACTCCGATCGCTGTGCATAGAGTTTCACTTCATCTTTTATCACCAAACATTACATGAATAACAATCTACCAACTCAAGACACTATCTCAAATAGGTTACACCGTCAATTCAGCAGACAAAAATAATAATTAGAATTCATGGGCCATCGGATTGGGTGCCAGTGGCTTAATTGGTCGAGCTCGCTTTGTAATCAGAAGGCCCTGGTTTCAAACTCCGGTGGGTGCGTTGCGATGAAGAGTCCCAAATTAGGACGTAACAGCTGAGTGTCCAGTACTCTCAGTTGGTTTTTCCAATGGTTCTCTAACTGATGTCAGCTCATGATGAAGTCCTCCAAACAATCTAACTACTAATGAGTAAGCGGTTTGTGTATTGAATTAAATTATTTACCGATATTTCTTAATACGATTTTCCCCTCTCGATGTTTTATTCTAATTTCGTCAATTAAACTAGTTTTCATGTATGTTTTTATTTTTGTTTCTTTTAATTATGCAGAGATTCGCTGGTAAATGAGAATTCAGTTGGAGATAAAACAACAGAGGTGAATTCCTCTTCAACTGTAGTAACCTCTTTACCCTCAGAAACGGTAAGACTGGTGCTTTTGGATACTTGAAATACATTGGTTCTAATATATATATATATATATATATATATATATATATATATATATATATATATATATATGGCCTTAGTGACATATCTCATTTTCTTTCAAACCTCTGACGTGGCTTTCAAACGGCTACAATTTTCCATTTTCTCCTCGCCTGAACTCCATGTCAACGTCAGACGCACACCTAAGTTGTCACTTTCCCTCTGGGTCCCACAAAAGAAGTCTGACGTATGATTTTACTCAGCGGCCTTTCAAACGTGTGTCAGATCTATTTCTGTTCCCTTCCTTGGTGCTTATTTTGCCTGGTGGGTCATCTTATCAGTATGAAGCCGCTGTTACTGAAAGTCTCCAGTAGCCTTTACCAATCATGTCTTGCTTTGACATTCTTATTTGCGCCACCTTTATATGAAATGATAAGTGGAAGAGGTGACTTTTGGATTCGCTTGTTCATCTTCGAGTATGTATGACACTATCATCCTGAAGGTCCAGATCTTCTAAGTTTTTGTTATCGATCCAACGTGTGCCTGTCTTTTCGCTCTCCACAGTCTATTCCATATGCTTTGTATTAACAATAATAATGCATATTTCTAATTTTAACAAAATGGCTGACTTCTAAATCGGTATTATTAAGTAGCAGCAGGTGATTATTATTATTATTAAGTAATTTTTGAACACTTTTATAAGATTTTTTTCATTACATGTTTCTTGACCATTGCGTCTAATGTTCTTGTTTTGAATAAAGCAAGAACAACAGTGGTTTGTAGAGAATAAGATTGCGCCATCATTTCATTTTGTTGGCTGCTCATCAGCTGCTTGCAGCTTGAAGAAGAATTGACAGTTTCACGTACAGAACTACCTCAACCTACTTGCAATTTTCACATGATGCCAGCTGACAGAGAATTCAAGTTTAAACAAAACAAAGTCAATGTATGCAAACAGTGGCAAAAGAGTTATGTAATAAAGACAAGAGGTTAAAGCCAAAGATTACGTAATCAAATGAAAGAGAGAATAAAGATATCCAGTTACCGGGTGGTCAAGGAAAGACTGATAACCGCGTCTTCCTGAACACACACATAAACTGAGTGTCAGGCACTTATTATTATTATCATTGTTTCCTTTAATTCCTAGAGGAATATAGGGCTTCAGCCGTGCGTCTTCATTGCGTTTGGTTCTCTGCTAGAGTCTTCACCTGGCTCCAAATCTCCCAACACGTTTTCATCTCCTCTTCACATGACCTCCTCCTCCAAGTCACCCTTGCACTGACGACCAACTCGCCGCTTCTCTTTCGGGTTCCACTCGAGTAATGGCTTGTCTAGTGATGTCACTTGATGGTTTCCTCAGAGTATGGTCAATCGAATCTATCTCCATTTCTTCCTGCCTATTTGTTTCACAATCGGCTCCTGGTTGGTTCGCTCCCAGAGATCTCTGTTGCTGATCTTTTCTGGCTGGCCATCTGATCTTGAGTATTGAGCGAAGACAACTGTTAATGAAGGTCTGTAGTTTGTTCGAGGTGCTCTTCATGACGCGCCAAGTCTCTGTTCCGTATAGTAACACTGACTTCACATTGTAGTTGAAAATCAGGATCTTATTTTTGATGCTGAGTGCTGTTGACCTCCACGCAGATTTGAGAGTAGTGAAAGCTTTCCTTGCTTTCCCGATGATCCTCGCTTTGATATTGTCACCAGTTCCGTCCGCCTGTAGTTGAAATGATGCTTCTCAGATAGGTAAAAGAGGTTGTTTCTCTCAGGTTCCTTCCATTTAGTCAGGCATTTGATGGAGATGATTGCTTCAGCAAACTTGAGGAGAATTCAACTCTATTCTGTCTATTGATAATTTTTAAGGATTTTGCAATGTCCACCTCATGAACCGTGCGTGTATCAAGGAAATGCCTGGCAATGGTTACCAATGAATAATGCATATATTCCCTTGAGATGTGTAGGCTTTTTAGTACATGTTTTTGCCTCCTCGCTTGCTTGCTTGCTTACTTCATATTCAAAAAATGGAACAAGTGTATAAGGTTCTCTTTTCTGGCTTAGTAAACATCTAGTGTATTAATTATAATAAAGTGTTTTTTGTTGTATTCTCTTCACATATAAATTCTAGTGGAATTTATTTTCGACAATTTTTTTCTTCTCTTGCTTATTACTTCTAGAATATTGCAATGAATAGAAAAATCCAAGAGAAATTCAAGTAAGCAACTTTTTCAGTATTCTCTTTTTTTATATTTCGCTATCTTTTCACTTTTGTGTTTGTGTACCCTTGTGTATTTACTTTTTTGTAGCTAGGATAGCTGCTGAAAACATATGACGGGTATTTCTAAAGGCGTCAGGCATCGACAGTTTATAAAATACCACTGTCGAGAGAGAATGGATGGAGGGAGTGTGTGTGTGAATAAAATTAAAATAAATAGAGACTGTACAGAAAGTGATAAATATATATTTATCGTTTTTACAGAGCTCTGACTAACTGGTTTGACATAGAACTTTCCACGGAATTGCAGCAACAGTTCTAGTTACCCCACACTCCTTGTAGCGCACAGAAGCTAAAGGAATTTCGAAAAAAACACGATAATAAGCAGAAATGTGAGGGAGAAAGAACAGGGAAGTAGGAAAACAATAGAGTAGTTTAATGGATATGGCACATCAATAAAGAGCGAAGACATCTGCACCGTTCAGAACGATTTCGAGGCGTATCACTACCAGTTCTCTCCAACTATTAGTTCTTAGAATCCCGAGGACCCCAGCTTGAAGTTGTTGATAAGTTTGTTTATTTGGGTAGTTGTGTGAGTGCTGGCGGAGGGGTGGCGGATGAGATTTCCAACCGTATAATGAAGGCTAGGGTGGCATACATCAACTTGAGCCACCTCTGGCGCCGTCGCGATGTTAGCCTGGCTGTCAAAGGTCGGGTATACAGTGCTTCGGTGCGAGCTGTCTTGCTCTACGCCTGTGAAACCTGGCCTCTCCGAGCTGAGGATGTGCGGCGACTCTGCGTGTTCGATCATCGCTCTCTCCACAGGATTGCTTGCGTTCGATTGCATCATCGCGTGAGTAATTCTGAGGTTCGGCGGCGTGTGTTTGAACACAGTGGAGATCACCATTCATTGAGTGTCGTTATCTGGAAACACCAGCTCCGGTGGCTTGGACATGTGCTGCGAATGTCATCCCAGAGGCTTCCGTACAGATCTCTGTTCGCTAGCCCTGGGACAAGATGCAAAAGGCGGAGGGGTCGTCAGTTCATGACGTGGCGTCGTGGGATGAAGGATTCTTGTGCTAGATTAGCATCGGTTGGTGCGTCACGACTCCCTGCTTGGGGTCCGCGAGATAGCTCGAAACGTTATCGGATATGGCCAAGAATCGTAATCAATGGCGAACGTGTTACAATTTCCTTCTTTCTTCCCTTCCTGATGATAGTTAACGAATACTGTTTGAACTTGTTGAACATGACTGTTTTCCTTCCAGATGAAGTTCTTTATCCGTTCTCTACCTATATTTTTACTTTTGATCTATGTTGTTTTATTATTATTGTGTGGCGCATCTTTCTTGGTGCTATATTTTACCAAGTTTTTTCTTCTGCGTTTAAATAAAATAAATAAATAAGCTAGCCAGGCTACACTTCCCTATGTGGCTGGCTGAAAATGACTGGTAAAAATTTCAGGAAAAGTTCAACTTTTCTCGCAACTAATGACCTTGAACTCACCAATCACATGAAAGAGGCATTTTTGGTTATGGAAAACATATACTTATGAAAAAATAAATGCATACAAATGTTTTATAGGGTAGCTTTCTCTGATATGTGGTAGAAACATCTCCCAGTTGAGCCTAGGAGTATCAATTGGAAAGTTACACCACATTCTATATACACATACTCATCAAAATTACTGTAATTGACATACTTTTGAAATCCACTAATGGCCCTAATCCTGTTTTTTAACCTTCCTCAATAACCACCTTGTTTGGAACTGGTGTGTGTCCCTGTAATGGGATCCACAAAATCATTAGAATGGTTCACTCAGTGGTGAATATATCCTAGGGACTACGTCAACTCCTAGCTTCGTGATAGGGAGTGAAGTGATAAAACATGTTGACCACTTCATCTATTTGGGAAGTTGTATAGCACCAACGGATTGATTGGTGACGGAATCTCAGCACGGATCCAAAAGCTCGAGCTGCTTTCGCTAACTTACACCGTCTCTGGCGTAGGGGTGACATCCGGCTACCAACCAAGGGACGTGTATACTGCTCAGCAGTTCGCTCCGTCCTTCTTTATGGCTCTGAAACATGGCCAATACGAGATGAAGACATGAAAAGGTTGACTGTTTTTGATCATAGATGTCTACGATCTCTTTCTCACGTTAGGTGGCATAATAAGGTAAGTAATGTTGACGTCAGGTGTAGAGTGTTGGGTAGAGAGGGAAAATCAATCGACGAGGCTATAAAGTTACATAGATTGAGATGGGCATTACTAGCTGATATAAATGCAGGTTGGAAAAGAGTAAGTGGTGGCCAAACAAAAACATGGCATCGATCCATGAAATCCTTGACAGTTAAACTGAGTCAGGTAGGGAGGGAGATGCAGACTTCCGAACTTATGCACTTCGGTGCCAAGTTCTATGTTGAATCCAGACAGACAGACATATCCTAGGGTTGATATGTAGTTATAACCTTCCCGCTCACTCATCCACGTGTGCGATGACAACTTCTCCTAATAACAAAGTAATTCTCTACATTTTCCATGACGCGATATCTCTGCAGTGTTGGTACCACTGAAGTGTTGACTATTTTTTCAGTTTCAGCAGCTACACCTGTCACAGGCTGTTTTAAAATCCAGTAACTGCAAATATACAAAATCTAGGTTGTGGACAAGTGATACCTGGCAAAATATGTTCCTACGAAGTATTAGAGTCATCAGCTTCCCTTCCCTGACATTTGACTCGAATCACGTGGATGAAACTCATTGGGCTATTCAAGGTCACTCATTGATTGGTAGTTAGAGGTGCTTAAAGTTTAACTTGGTTAAATTTCATTTACTGAGTTCCTACAGAGTTGCTGTTTCACGGTACACCTACAGAACAAGGTTTTGACACTTGAACAGTAGTAGCGGTAGTAGTAGTAGTAGTACCGTTTTGCATTTTTATTCGTTTGCATTCCAAGTGGAACATAAAACATCAGGTTTGAGTTTTTCAGTTTCAGTAGTATTATCGTTCCCTTGGGTTCCGAGTGGGACATAGAGATTCAACGACACATCTCCACTGTTGTCCTCTTTATTTTACGGAGTGGGGGTTGCTTCTAGCTTCACACCCAACCTTGCCTCTTTACTGGGCCTACTGCAGGTTGATCGGGGTTTAGGAGTAAGTCCGTCGACCGTGAGTCGGACTGGGGTCTCGTTCATGGCTGGTGAACGTTTTACTTTTGAACCAGCTGCACACAAAGTGTAGTCCACCAAAACGAGTAAGCAGACTTATCCAGAGCATTCAAAGGATGGAGGTTGCTTTCAGATTGGGAGAGAGAGAAGAAAACGGGCAAAACGCAATATTTTCGACATTAATTATTGGTAATAAAGTCTCAAGCCAGTGTGATCCAAATTATCTCTCGAAACTCACCCAGGAAGTCGTTGCGTGCCCATCACATTGGTGTGAAACGTTCTCACTTTCCTATAGTTCAATGAACATTCTATTCACTTTCCAACATCTTTAAGAAGACCCAGGAGTAAATTGTCTGGGCCTGATGCGCCATTGCCCGTTGAGTGCTCGGATTACCTTTCAGATCTTCCGCTTCGTTTTTCAGGATAGGGGCACAGTGATTGGTAATGTTAGATAACGGCATCGTGAACCAGCTAAACAGCATTTCAATGTTCTCTATTCAGCGTAATAGGTTTCTCTTTAGGAGTTGTCAGTTGGTGTACCATCTGCATCACAGACCATCTTGGATGAGCTAGATCAGTTTCTAACTATCGTCAGATCCGTATCACACGCACGTGCTGGCCACCAGACTTCATGGTCCTTACCAAGGGGTTTGATTTTTTGTGTGTAAGTGCCTAACGTAAGTTGTTATACGGGGAAGTGACCTGACGTGTGTCAAGACGTCGCTCACATGAAGCCAATCATTTTTAGCGGGATGTTCTTTTATGCCGCAAATGGCTTTACTCTCAATTTTCTTAGCGTTTGATACGTACAAACACTGTTCGTCGATACTTTCTCAGGGATTAATAGCCAACCTCAACTCTAGCTCCGTTCGGTACTTTGTAAAGGTAACCGGTCTTACCAGTAAACTTACTTCAACCTGTGGAAAACATTGTTAATAGTCATCATCATCATCAACACCAAACAGCTGTTTTGCCCGGGCACTTTCTGATTCATGATCAGATTCAATAAGTATTCCAGAAAGTACGACAGTCCCCTATGCTTCCACACCATCGGTAGATGATAGCGACGTGAGAGAGGACACCAGATGTGTTGGTATTGGCTGGGAAGGGGTTGTGACTTACTCAAAGCCGCAGAAGACGATTCCCGTTGCCTGACCTGTGACCGAATATACGCATTCACATTTTCTTTTTTGTCACAACAACCCTCAGCGCATAAAGACTGTGATGGATAGGTTTTTCTGGACAGAGGCTGTGAATGTATCACCACCACAACCACCGTGTTTGCATCTCAACAAGAAGACTGAAGTGTATCCCCACCGTTAGCCATACCGGATCATTTATGTGAAAGATTTTTATTCTTACGATTCATAGAATTCACATTTGAAATTCTCTGTTTTATTTTGCTGATTGTGTTTTCAACGTAGATTTAAACAATAATTAATTAGATAATATGTTGTATATTCATTTTTCGCTCATTATTCATTCATTCATTCATTCAAGGGTTTGTTTACGATATTTCTTACCGCCGTCATGGTCAGTGGAAAAGGATAGAATCCATACACTTACAGAATCAGATCTTGCAAGCTTCCCTTTAGAAGATTTCTTCGATAGATATGAACAAGGTCTTCGAAATGTAAGTTTTCTGCATATTGTCTGTCTGTGTTTTTAAATTCACCCTCATAGAATAATGATTATGCATTTTACATTGTACATGAGAGAGTACTTTTATGCCTTATGTTTATTTGGTTGTTTGTCTTTGTTCACTTTTTTTTTCACTTCTGCGAAATAGCTGTTAACCTCCTTCCAACAGGAAACCGCAGTAGTCACAGATCAACTGACAGAATTACGGTCCAATGTGTGTGAATTTCTGAAGAAATACGATCCAGTAAGTGTTTGAATAATTATTGGTTTTAATCACCTTTTCTTTTTGTGATTTTCATGTTATTGTAAATTCTTAAACCACCACACACCACAACATGACCTCTATTCATTGCGATTCTGTATTCTTTAGTAAAGCTGGCAACAGTAAATAAGAAACACTGCAGTCAAGTGACCTTGAACCAACTAATCAAATTTTTCTAGGTGGAAAGTGGCCTCAATTGTATGTAATAAAAGTGAACTATACAGGGTATATATCTGTAAAACTTGGTCCCAGTTTCTCATAGGAGAGTGTCTATAGATATATCAAACTAATATTAGATGGTTGGAGGCAGTCCTCAGGAAGCCTTGTTTGACCTAGGTTTCGTGCTAGTTGGCACTCACCAGTCAGAAAGGCGTATCTTCAACCTTGAAGGAACTCATCTCCCTGCGTCATCCAGTGAGAACTGCTGTCAGAGACATGACCACTGAGCTATTCGGGCAGCAGCACTGAGCGATACGAGTTTGAATCTCACACGGGATATGAGTTCCTCATAGGTTGAAGATACGTCTTGCTGACTGGTGAGTGCCAACTAGCACGAAACCTAGGTCAAGAAAGGCTTCCTGCGATTGCTTCCAACCGTCTAATATCATCAAATTAATGTGCACCGTGATGGCGAGTGAGCTACCTAGAATGGTGGACACATTACAAAAAACCTGACTGATAGAATTCAGTCTGCACCAAACAAAGGACTAGACACCTCACACTGCGTACTAGAGTCCAATCAAAACATCAAACTAATGTCGACACGAAAATCCATCTAAGTGGCTGCATATCATTTCTTATCGGGAACCATTTACCACTCTAATACATTGTTTAGATTGACCCTTTAATAGAATTTGTATGTGTTCCACCTATAGGGTCAACAATTCAGACGAATGACTTTTTGAAGAGTATAGCCTGATGATGATTGTTGCGAATGACCTTTCCACTTATCTGTGTGAATGGTAATACCTGGGAAGACTCGTCATTGTATTCTTGGCATCAAAACGTCCCCACTTCTGTTTGGGATGCGTTCTACTAACGCTTTCCTAAGATTTGTATCGCACAGTCTCAGCACCCATACATGGTTTGCTTATCTCCTACCTCAAAGATTCATTATTCCTTTAATAAGTACTGTTTCGTCAATATTAACGACGTTACCGATTCCTGCAAATACAGAAGTTATTCCATCGATCTTTTGTGAGTCAGTACCTCGACAGTGCTGTGATACCACTACACTGTTGAAATTTTGATCTTCTCTGTTTCTGCAGCTGTAGCAGATATTGATCGTCTCAGTAGCCGATTGTACCACATACACAATGTTTTGGTAAGACAGAGTTTCTATGTCGAGAAGAAACTATCTAGAAACTAACCATAATGTACGACTTACCGACTGTTACAAGCTTCCTGATATAACATCTGAATGCTTAGGTATCAATAACCCGGCAATACTTCCACAGGGTCATTATTCCTCCACACATGCATATTTAAGAAGTCCTTCTTATCTACCCATTTTACACACACACACACCAGTCAAAAACCAAATTCGGGTGAAGCTTCAGACGAAGATTACGAAGAGCATCTACTATTTGTAATGCTGAGCTATCTGATTGGTTGGTTCAAGGTCATTTTGGCTTTGATGTTCATTCTTTACTGTTACTGTGTAGTTCATTAAATTATTCTCTTTCCTGTGCAATTTTGTTCCCTTTAGTATCACTACACTTCTATTCTATTCTCTTTTGGTCTACTCTTGGTAAGCCTTACCCACGTGTACTGTTACACTTCTTTCTGAGTGCAAAGTTCTAGGTTGACTGATTCGTCGGTCACAATCAGTCACTTTCTTTCTGCATCCTGCTAAATCAGGTGACAACCGGAAACAGTTTATTCATCGTTTTTATATTGTAAGCAGTTCATGGATGCTTAACTTGCCCTACAGACTGGTTGACTGGTGGGTCGTTTTGGGCTGGTATATGGAAGTTCGGTACCAACTAACTGAGTCCTAAAAACTTAGTCTGCCAAGTTACAATTTCTAAGTTTCCTGACAGAAATAACGAAGTGTATGCAACTTTAATGTAAGTGTAGAACTTGGGCACTATGGTAGGATATAATTCCATATTGGATAGGTTTTTTCCAACTATCACACAGTGGTGGTGTAGTATCAATAACTGGATAACGTTTCGAGCACAATTTATTGATCATAATCGCGCCAGTTCAGTCACACAGCCTCATGATTTGCTTCATATAAATATATATTTCTCTCCCTCCCTCCTCCCCTTTTTGTTTGTTGCCACTTTCCATATCTCCGCTATAGGCGTTGCGTCACCCCGATTGCATGTGCGCAGTGTTGAGTCGATAAACAAATCTTCAGTGATTAACCTTTCTCTGTTTCCACCTAACTATATTACTCTTTAATATTGTCACCCTGTCCCACCCACCATGTTGTGTGAGATTACATGCAAGTGAATGCAATACAGTGTAATGGTCCAGCTTTTGTCAAGATTATTTAACTTAAAAAAATGCTATTTGGTAAATTATATTATTTTTTCTTAATTGGATCTATTGTGTCCTTAAGCCGAAAAGGTTTATCTCTGAGAGAGTTGGTTGGTTGATTGATTTAGATGCCACCCTGGTTCTAGCCTCATTGAGAATCTTACGTCATCTGTCTGACATTCCTCCTTTTCATACGACAGTACTATGGTCTCATGATATATATATATATATATATATATATATATATATATATATATATATATATATGGTGAGAGCTGGCTGCTAGCCAAAGTTGCTAGACAGTAATTGACGTCAATGTTTATGTCCCCAATATTGGTGGTGAGAAAATGAGAACAAAGGCTTTGCGTAGGCGGAAACAGTTGTACATGGATGATCTGACACAGCCACAAAGAGATGCAAGGTTAACTTTCTGTGAGAAACAATCAATCAAAAGACTGTATTTTCTACTAACAATAATCTACCATAATGTACATTAAAATCTATAAATATGTGTTGATTTTCCTTAATAAACGATCTGTTGCCTGACCCTTTTCTTCTGTTGTTACATATATATATTATGAGACCGTGTGACTAAACTGGCGTGATTATGGTCAATAAATTGTGCTCGAAATGTTATGCAGTTATTAATACTGTGTGGGATATTTGAGATCAAATTTGCTAATACGTATACAACTTTGTTAGAGAAATGGTGGCAGTCGACTAAAGCCGTGGACCTAGGTTTTGCGCTTGTTATGACTCATCTGCGATCTTGAAGGGGCCGATGTCTCTCTGTTATATAATACTCAGTAACCAATCAAAGTATCCATTACAATGCTAGATGAGGCTAGTCGTGTGAGGTCTAATAGTTTAGTGGTAATGTCTCTGACTACAGCACTGGGTGACGTGGCTTCCAATATCAAAGGGGATATGAATCCCTTGAAGATAGTAGACACGCCTTGCTAACCTAATCAGTGATGACAAGTGCAAAATCGATGTCCACGGATTCCTGGCGATTGCCTGCAATTATCTAACATTAATTTAATGTGCACTGCAATGATAAGTCATCATGCTAGGTGACTGTCTTAACTGACAGAACTCAATGTGCACCAACAGCAGTGACTTGACACCCCTGAATCTGGTTACCAACTAGTAGCCAATCAAAGTACCCGACACAGTGCTACAGGAAGTCAATGGCAACTCCGAATAGCTCACTGGTAACGTCACTGATTGCAGCACTGGCTGATGTGGGTCCAAATTTCAGAAGGAATATGAATTCCATCAAGGCTGTAGATACATATTCACCTTGGTAACTGGTGAGTACAAACTAGCACGAAACCTAGGTCAGACGAGGCTTCCTAACGATTGCCTCCAACCATCTAGTATCAATAAATTTACTGTGCACTGTGTTAGCAAGCCATCTAGCATGAAGACCACACTGCAAACGTGTAACTGATAAGAATTCAATCTGCACCAACAGCAAGGACTAGACGCCCCTGACACATTCGTTACCAACTAGTGTCCAATCAAAGTGTACAATTTTATTTTATCTTTTAAGCCTCCTCAATCATCATTATTTTCTTCCATTGTATTGTAGGACTTCAAAGAACCCTTGACTAATATCGAAGAAGTGGATAATTATCTGAAAAATTTCCTTGCAAAAAGTTGAATTCCTCCGCTCATCATAAAAAAAGACAACAACTAAACCAACCATTGGTTGGTGGTTGAATTAATCTTTTCCCTGTGCAAACGGAGTTTTCTCCCTCTCCTCTCCTCTACTCATGCGCGCAGCTGTTATATATATATACATATATTATATACATATATATAGTAATTATTATTATTATTATGTATGCCTCTTTTATGGTTGGTGTCTCACCGAATCTCTTTTGACTCTTCTCTTTTTGTGCATATTAATGTATTCCTTCAACAATTGTCTGTCTATAAATCTACGTGTTGTTACTCTATATATATCTGTATACAGCATAGCAAAACAACGACAACAACAAAAAAAGTATAATTGAATCAAGACATTTAGTTTCATCTGTTAGACAACACTTTCTGTATATGTCTATAGAAGTTGTTGATATGATAATGTGACAATTATGGTTTTTTATGTTGTTGTTTTTTTCCTCCATCACCTACCTATCTTTGTAATTAAATAATTAATTAATTAATTGATTGATCTTACTTGTCATTCCAGCTCTCTTCTTTTTTGCATCCTTTATTCGACGCATGCTCTTAACTGTGCCATTTATCCATACATCCATCTGTCTATCTATCCTATTTATTACACTGCCACTTTAGGAGTGGTGTTGTTATCCCTTCGTATATATATATATATATATATCGCCTTTCCCATTTTACTGCATAGATTGACCTTTTGTTTACTCTCCACTCCGCTCCTCTGCTCTGCTCTACTTGACTGATGGCAATCTGAGGTGTCTATCTATACAGCAGAGAATTAATTAGGGTAGTGACCTGCTGATATTACGCATACTAATACTACTACTACTACTATTGCGACGACAACAATTAATGACAACCGTGTCGCTTCTGTACAGTCATCCTCTTGATAATAGTGATAATGTTGAAATCTCTTTATTTGTATAACGTTATCGTAGTTCTTGTTTGTTGGTAAAGAGTTACTACTTATTATTATTATGATTATTATTGTATCTTTTGTTGTGTATACCTACCTGTGTGTTTACAACCAAGGTTAATTAACATTGTATACGATACATCAAAAAAGGGATTATCCCCTTTTCTTTTCTTCTTTTCCCTGTATATTCAACACAATTTTAGCATTGTATTTTTTTCCCTATCTTTACTTACATAAAAAAATGCAATCGATTTCCGTTGCATTAGTAGTGCTAATCATAATAATATTGTAATATCTGTTGATCACTACTACTACTGTTAAAGAAAGAGTAGAAAAAAAATAATAATAATAAAACAATCGTTGATCGTGTTTCATATTTTGTTGCTTAACATTAGTTGATAACCGACATCGGTTAGAGAATCATTGGGAAACCACCTGGGGGAACTGGATAACTGTTTCGTCCCAGTAGTTTGGATCTCATTAACAGCATCCACCCACCGACACGGCTCGAACCCAGGACCTTCAGGTTACGGTTTCATGGCCAGTAAGCTCGTAGACCATTAAGCATCTGGGACCTAGTCCAACTTCTACCAATTCGCGATATAGCGTTACTAGTCGATTTTGTTCGTGGCGAGTATATTTGTCCTCAAACCCGACCGGATGGACGTCACTAGTCACGACTTCTCACTAGAACCCAGGTAACTACCTACCTGAATAAAGCTAGTCGCTAGTAGTCATCAGATTGATACTCAAGTATTGGTTTACAGGGTTCGAGAAACGGGGAATACTGGACAGCTGTTTCATCCTAGTTTGGGACTCATCGGAAGTACGAACGCATCCAGGTTTGAACCCAGGACATTCTGATTATAAGGCAAGCTCTTAGACCATTCAGCCACTGGGACCCTGGAAATGAACACTTGAATATTATTTATTTATTCCCTTGGGTTCTGGGTGGGACATGAGGGCTTACGTAGAACATCTCTACTTCATTTTGTTCGCTGTAGTTCATTTTTGTAACCGGTTGCTGCACGATTGACCATAAGCTTTGATTTCCTTTCCAAATACATGATCTCCTCTGTGTCACTCTTGTATCGTAGTCGAACTCCTTCCCCATCGAGGTTTCACCCGAGGGATTGCCTGGTGCATGATGACGTTACTTGACAACGGTCTCCTCAGTGTGTGTCCAATCTCTCTCCATATTTGTTGTGTGATAGGTTCGTGGCGAGAGTTCCCGCTTAAGATCAGTACGTACGTACAACATGACACTCATGAAGCCTCTTTTAGTCTCACAATACTCCACTAAAATTTATTTATCTTTTAGCCTCTTGCTGAATTCAGTGGATGTTGTCAAGATTCACTATTAATAAGAAAGTGTCAACACTCGGGAATTTAAACCCATCCTACTGCGAATAAGGTGCATTGAGGAAGCATTGAGGAGTTTTCATTGCTAAATACAGGTGTCTTAGTTTCGGCAATAATTTAATTAGTAATCTGGCATATATATATATATATATATATTTTTCCTTCACATTCCCCAGTGGAACATAGGGCTTCATGCTAGTGGCTTGAAGTTTCTGTGGCAGTGGTATTTATTTTTACAGGATGGGGTTGCTAGCCTCATGCCCAACCTTTCCTCTTCACCAGCATTATTTCTGGCTAAGCGAGGTAAAGGAGTGCGTCGGCAGGGATCGAACCACTGACCATGTGCACGGTCGGCGAGCGTCCTAACCGCTATGCCACCGACGCACGGCATATATATATTGAGGATTAATATTTGTGCACATTGTTGGGATCCTCAGCTGTGCAACGTAATTTATCGTCATGAATATTAGTTCATTGTTTGATATTTCTAATCTCGGTTACACTTTGATTCAGAAAATGAAACCATTCATAACACAGTTTGAAGTGGAATTATATTGTAACGACAGAAGACCAAGGGCCAAGTAACAGGTTGTTCATTCAGAAAATCAAGACATTTCTATGCACCTTATTGTCAGCGGAGAAGCGACATCTTCTGACTGGTTGCTTTCCTTGTTGAAGGTTATTCTGTACTGCTTCTCAGAGAGTTAAGCCATATATCTGCGAATCGTATTTGCACATATTAAATCTGCTGTGATTGGTTGGTGAGTTCTTTAAGGTTAAGCTTTTTTATCGTTTTTCTCATTACCCGAATTCGGACGTAACATTGACATGAATTTCTGTCTACAATTTTTTGGCTTGCGGCCAGCTCTCACCACGATATCACATTTCCTCATTAGGAAAAACAAAAGATTTATTTGAAAAATGTGGCCAGGATCAGACCAAGAAAATGGGCAAACTAATTGTGATATGATCCCGTTGACAGTTGATATAACCCAGTTAACTTATACGTGGGTATGATAACACCAACACGATGGGCAACTCACTTCAATGCTAGGTACGCCCTATTCGTCCTTAATACGATTCCACTTGACTGAACCACGCAAATATCAAAAGACTGGCTGACAAACGACTGTTAAGATACAGACCTATGTCAAGGAGAAACACACTTTATTTGTACACTTCTATCCACATTTTAACTTGTCTAGGTCAGTAGAAAGTAAAATATCCTGATTGGTTGATGATTGGCCATAGGTTATCGCATCCACAGAATGAACTTTGCAATCATTGGCTCAAAATATTGATTGCCATTTCAGCCTACTTCTTATCAAATAGTTTATATGAATAGTTGGAAATCAAATCCAAGTGTTCTAAACACCTGAGTGTCAATTCGCTTGCTGCTTGGGTCCCGAGCTTATCATCAGTGAACCCTGTTGAAGTGAGCTGAAACCACTTGGAATCTGTTAATAGGTACGATAGTATCCCAAGCCAAGAATTATTAACAGCAATACATAAACTCCAACACAAATGTGTAATGCTAGAAGATAAGGACCAGTCAACAGATTGTTTATTGAGAAAATCAAGAGGTATCTTTATAGATCTTTATATACATTATTGTTAGTAGAGAAGCAAGCTCTTCTTAATGGTTGTTTTCTTGCTGAAGGTTATTCTTTTATCTCTTTGTAGCCGTTTCTTAGAAAGTTAGGCCATATATCTACAAATCATATTTCCACACCTAAACTCCGCTGTGATTGGCTAGTGATTTTCTCAAGGTTAAGCATTGTTGTTGTGTTTTCTCATGACCCTGTCTAGGGATGAGAGCATTGATGGAAATTGTTGTCTACAATTATGACTTGCAGACAGCTCCCACTGTGGTGAGAGATGGCTGCTAGCCAAATTGGTAGACAGTAATTGACGTCAATGTTTATGTCTCAAATATTAGTCATGTGAAAACAAAGTCAAAGATGGACAGCAGACTTTGTGTAGGCGGATACAGTTAGCATAGAGATGATCTGACACAGCCAAAAAGAGATGCAAGGTTAACTTTCTGTGAGAAACGACCAATCAAAAGACTGTATTTTCTACTAACAATATTGTACATTAAAATCTATCAATATGTGTTGATTTTCCTTAATAAACGATCTGTTGCCTGACTCTTGCCTTCTGTCGTTACACCACCACAATGTATCTGAACGAAGGCTTCCTGTAGATATTTACTGTACCTTAAGACCGAATTAATTATTTGAACTCAATTCACAGTGGGATTTCATCATTAGTCCTTTTTGAAAATCAAAAATAGCTGCCCGAGTAGCAATTACTGTTGGTTGGTGTGAATGAGCTTTCAAATACTCATATTGATTAGCATATATATATATATATATATATATATATATATATATATATATATATATATAACACAATTTAAAGTTGTTTTAAATCCTGGTATGTTTACTATCCGTTAGCTATATCAGCATAATGTAATCAGTTAAAAGTTTGTAGATGCAAATTAATGAAATGGGGAAATTCGCAACAGTTTGCGTTAAAGGTGCTCAATGAGTATCATTGATATGAGAATAAAACTTGGGCACTGTGATAGCGTGTAATTCCATTATGGGTAAATTTTATTTTGATAGAGTCTCACAGTGTTATACAGTAATATTTGCTGTTGACCACGTTTCGAGCACAATTTATTACTGCTCATAATCATATCAAGGTAATCACACGACTTCCTAAATTCATTTATATAGTTCCATTGTTTTTCACTTGATTTGATTGGTAGTATTATTTTCCATATTTCGGGTATGAGTGATGATTCATTCCTATTGCATGTGTTGGGTGTAGATTCGATGAACAAAGATTCAGTAATCAACCTCTCTCTCCACATACCTAGATTACTTTTTTGGAATTTTAACCCTCTCCCACCCTATTGTGTGTTAATGCATGCATTGCCATTGCCGAGTTTTTTTTCTAAATTACTTATCTTCTCTGGGTCAACCATTCTTACCTTAGCTAAATTCTTATGTTCTGACAATCTGACTACCCCTGACCTACTAGTTTGACCTATGTAGTTGACCTCACAGTCATTGCAGGGTATTTTGTAAATTATATTATTCTGTCTAATTGGGTCCACTGGGTCCTTTAACCTACAGAGCTTGTCCTACCTGAGTGAGTTTGTAGGTTTGAATGCCACCCTAATTCCTGCTTTATTTAGAATCCTACGTAGGGTCTCAGATGTCCCCTCTTTATATGGTATAATTGTAGATGACTTATATTCTCTCTTATTTATGTTATTATTACTAGTTTCACAATTCTTTTTCTTTTTCTTTTGGCGTTTTTCAATCTTCCTAATGAATTTTAGAGGATAGTTATTTAAAACCAACGCCTCTTCTATCTGTTTTATTTCATCATTAAGGTCTTTTTTTGTACTACTTAGTGTTATTGCTCGGTTTGTTAAACACTTAACTAAGCCTGCCTTAACAGTTAAAGGATGAGATGAATTAAAGTCTAAATATCTATTAGAATGCGTTGGTTTTCTATAAACACTAGTGTGTAGTTTGCCTTCTTCTATTCGTTTTATTTTACAATCTAACATAGCCAATTCTCCTTGCTCATTTTCGGTTTTAGGGATTCACCTATGCCTCACATCTACTATATTTAAATTCCAAGGCAAAATATATAGACAAACTGAAGGTGTAGCAATGGGATCACCAATATCCGTTGTCGTAGCAGATATATTTATGGATAGCTGGGAAATATAGCTCTTAATACGTTTAATCCTACTCCAAAAATATGGTGGAGATATGTGGATGACACTTTCACAGTGTTAAAAACAGAACGTATCTCTAGCTTCTTGACACACATAAACTCACTAGTGGAGGGAATAAAATTCACATTTGAAGCCGAAAATGAGCAAGGAGAATTGGCTATGTTAGATTGTAAAATAAAACGAATAGAAGAAGGCAAACTACACACTAGTGTTTATAGAAAACCAACGCATTCTAATAGATA